ATGTAGGCTTATAGACAGAGCATGCACACTATTAATACATGTTTTGAGTAGTGTATACCGGCTTCTCTTTAGATATAAACATAGCAAATATTGCATTTACTGTTATGGTTACTGTTCTAATTGCTAGTATGATATAATCCAATCAATTATCGTTCTCGCTACTTATAACGTTTAGCTTTAGTTACTGAAGTAGATGTCAAATATAGACCAGCTTTATCTGTGTTTTTACTGGAATGAATTATAGATTAACACATAAATATGAACACATTGACACATTTTGATGATACAGTTTAGAGTTTACACAGTGAAATGATGATACAGTTTACAATGAGAGACTCTTTTAGACTGAAATGATTGATCACTTGCTCCATGATCTATAAAAGGGCATTGCAGCGATAGGCCCTCACACGTTGATCGTGGTCTATTGGACTAAGTACTTTTTTGCCAATCCCCAGGCACAACCTTTTCATTGGTATGGAATTTCCTCATAGCGATAGTGTAAGAAATAAACATTAATGCTCTCCTTTAATTTCAAGTTAGTATTTGTGCATATATTCACAGCCATACTAGGTAATATGTACATAGCAAACTCTGTATACTAATTTGATCTGGTACATCACTGTTCTAATTAATTACACACCTCCACGTATGTACACACCAACTACACTACATACATAGGACACATAGCAAACACACCTTATTGTAAGCTCATTAAAATATAATAACTTAAATCAACATTTCCGTTCAAAAACAATTCTCATACCATAAGATACAAAAGCCAATGTATGTATTTAAAATCCAGCAATGCAGCAATATTTGGCGAATGCGTTATTTGGATATTTTGTATTAAATAATAAATGGTAAAAATGTAAATCTGAAGTATATTCATAGATGAAATGCAATAAGAGTATTAAATGGGATAAATAAAGTCAACGCACTAGAACAATTAATTAATTGAAGACAAGAGCATTTAAGTTATGGCATAGAATCTAATTGTATTTTATCAACTATGCACATCAATATTTCTGTATTAATCAGTTTAAAAGTAACATAGCTTTATTAATTATTCAGATGAAAAATACCCATAATGTAAAACCAAACAGCCAACTCGTGGTGTTTTGTTAAATCATTCTGTGCTAAAACACTCATCTGTTGAAAAAATACTGAAAATAAAAGAAAATAATAAAATAATTTAGTTTAGAATGGATTTGATACTGTAAATGTGTGTAAGAAAATATATTTCGGAAGTACCTGCAAAACATGTTAGCACAAGTTATAGAGCAAAGAAACCACTTCTTCATGAATAATTTATGAGGATACTTGTAAATGTAAATGAAGACTTCAAAGATGCTTAACGTGAACAAAGAACAGTTCTCAACACAACAAATCAAACTCTGTCAAAACTTCGAGTGGGTAGTTGCAATTGCTCAAGAGACTTTATTGCATAGAGAACTTTACAAGTAAAATGTTTTTTTCTTAAATTTGTTCAAAATAATTTTGCTAAATGAAAGCTTGACACTTGAAGCAGTGTAAGTTCAAAGGCATGGCCAAACAGTAGTTGTATACAATTCAGTTTGGCCGGTTATGACTGTAATATTTTCAGATATAAATCATTAGTGGCCAATGTATTATCCTACGTCTACTTGTGAAGCCAAAGCTGTGGCACAGAGGCGGAGATAGGACCAGCCATGTACGAGGGTCCATTAGCTGTCCCTGATCATTGGACTTTAAATAAATAATCCTGACTGATGATGCATCTGATACATCTTAGTCTGTAACAAAGCTACACATATAACATCACACCATTCTACACTCATCCTTCACTCATATTTGGGTTAAAATACGCCAATCCAGGGTGGCGTTATTGTATGTAATTTGAGAGAGCTGGTCTAGTGGTTAGAGCGCGGGACTTCAGTCCGGTCGTAGTCAATGAAGAGCTGCACAGACGACCCCTTTTCAATCTGCACTTCATACGCATATACGTGTCGGTGTTTCTGCTATGAAAATGATAATGATATCAATCATGATATGTATTAAAATTTAAATATCTAGTATGTAATGTAGATTATGGTACAAATTTTACTAAAAGAATGATCATGAGAATTGAGAATAGGTCTTTGAATGAATGTCAATTTAAATTAACAAACAGTTTCATGTTTAGACAGTTATCCCCAACACTCAATTTATGAAACGCCTTCCACTTTCATCTCCGTCATTTTCCTCGTACTAACTGAAGTGAAACGAGATTTCATTCGCCAAATTGAAGGCGCAACGCTCTCCTCTAACAAATTGGAAATTCATTAATAGCTAAATAATAATATTGTGTTGTAAGTACAAATCCTTTGGCAACAATTATACAGTATTACTGATGAGTGTTCATTACCAATTAAAACACTTTTTAGTCTCTTCCAAATGATATATAATAACTTTTAATCAAAATATTTCAATTAGTTATCCAATACGTCATTTAAAAGTTAAATTTTTTATTTTTATATGCACTTCTATCATTTTTTTTTTTAACCTAAGTGAATAAAGTTTTTCATGTACCATTACTTATTAAAGATTATTTTTGGGTTGCTTACAGATTTAACTCACTTGAAAATCCAACAACTATTTTCACTATATAAAAATATACTTGTATTTTCTACCATGTATTTTTCTAAGGATATGTTTAACTAGTCAAAATTCTTACCAAATAATCGTAGCCTACATTTTACACGTTGGAAAAAGTTTTGAATCATTATAACAGTATGTTAAAACCTTAACGTGACATACCTATTGCATAATAATGTAATAGGTATGTCACGTTAAGGTTTTAATTTGACAAAATAATATTGTTACTCTACTTATTTTATATTGGAATGGGCTATTACTAATGTATCCAGTGGATGATTAAAACAATGCACATCTTACTTTAAAAACACGAAACTATAAACATTCTTTTAATGTATACAAAACCGTTACTTTGTGTTTTAGGCCTATGTAATAACTGTTTGTACCAAGAGCAGAAACTAACCATACGTCTAAGTAACATCCCAGAATACATTCGTTTATGATTAAAAAGCAACGCTTACAGATTCCATAAGATAATCCTTTAAATGAGTCAAGCACTAAAGGTTGGTTGATTAGGGTAGTTCATAAAATAATAAATACTAGAGGTCGTCCAGTGGTTGAATAACTCGACCAAAGATATTTAATGTAAAACAGACTTCTCTATTTTCACCCTACGCTGTAAATAACAAATATGATTGGAATTTCTTCATTTTTTTATTTTATTTTTATTTTTCGTTGTTATTTCGTCACCCCATCACCGCATTGCAACCCATAAGGCCCATGTTAGTTTTTTAATGTTTAAAATTCATTTTTTGCTTATTTTTGAGCATATTTTAATTTGTAAATAGATTCTGCACATCTACAGGAAAATATATTCCTAACAGTAAGCGTAGGTTTTCCCTGCGATGCACACGAGCTGAGAAAAAAGGTTTTAAACAAACATGCTTACCTTTTAATATAGATGGACTGTCAACACACACAGAAAAAATTACCTCCATTCAACTTAAATAAATTTCTATTATATAAATATATACTTATAATTTAGTCAACTTTGCTTTTACTTAATCTGGAGACTAGAAGGTTTTACAACAAAGGTTCGTTTTTGAATAAAATATGTTACTGTTGATGAAATTTGTTCTTCTGAATCATACATTTAGAGCTCACAAACGTCTGTCAGGTTACACGCAAACAACTAACCTGTACAATTTCCAAGAACTGTACTAGGCATCAATAAATTGAATGAAACCTGAAAATGATATAGTGAACTAACTATATGTTTTACATAACAAGTTTTTTCATATATTTTTACAGGCTCATGACACGACTACTCACAATTTGGGTTTAATTACATTTTGTTTCATCTCATCCACACAAAATTATTATTTACAGGTAAAACATATAATGTGTCGTTGAAGTAGTTTTATCTAAATTAACCGCCAATATAACATGTTAATATCACCATCGGCTCGTGGGGGAATTCCTACATAAATCAAATGTTCATGTTAGTAAATAATAATGTGTCTGTAAAAAAGAAGAATGAATGTATGGCAATGCAATTCTATAGACTATAATGACATTTTTGTTGCAACCATTGTTTAGATACTATAAGATATTACTTCAAATGGAGTAGTTAGATTGTTTTAATTATACGATTAGTTTTATCTTAATTCTTGGTTAGATATAACAAGGATTTATCGCCAAGATAAACTATAATAATAAATTACACCAATCTCTTTTAACTTACTTTTTAAAATTGTTTTCTTTATTTATTTCAAATTTAAAAAAATCATAACCAACTGATACCAAATTTATTTTGACGTTCAATAAATGTTTATTACTTTATTAGTTGTAGAAAATGATATCTCAGTACTTTCTATATTTTATTGTAAAAAGCTTTTAAATAAAATTAACTTACATTTTAAAATTCATAAGCTTTAATGAGTGCTACTGACTGAGTTTTGCATTTTATCAGCGCTTTGTTGTACCAGAATGACAACTGACCCGTTGCTGTTCTTGACGGAGTGTCACCACCAGTGTTTAGAGTTTATGACCGATGTACATTTTGTATCCTACGTGACGGTATTTGACATAACTTTAATAATTCATATTTTACCAGTTTATACTCTTATATATTGACATATTAATTTCTACAGTAGGCCTATTTAAAATTTACAAAGTTTTTTTTAAACGAATTGTTGTGTTTCTGGCTTGTAATTTTTTTAATTATTTATTTTTGGCAAAATAAAGTTAGAGGTATAATTGAGAACAATAAAAAATAACAGGAATTCGTTTTTATGATTTAAGGACTAGGTTGATATTGACTTTGCAGCATCAGTGTTGCTACACATGAACTAATAAAAATATCTAAAATTAAAAAATCTTCCACACTGCTAAGGGAAACAGACTAGAAACATACAATATAAAGGATTTTAAATAAAACTCATGTGTAATTTCCTATTTTAGTTATAAAAATTACATAAATACATCTTTCACGTTACATTTCTTATAATTTAAAATCTTCACTTTAACAGTTGCATTTGTACTTTTTCCTCCGTCGACCTCTCCATCACTCCACTTGCCACATCTGATCGTAAGGAACGTTGAGTGTGTACTTGTTGATCGCTCCTCGCAGCACCTCGTCAAACCCTTGCTCTGCGTAAGGCAACATCTCCACGTAGAACATCCTCCAGAACTGGTTGACCACGTTCAGAGCCAGCTCACCTGCGAGAAAATAACAACATGTGATTGCAACTCAAACAATTAGATTACATTCAACAACAGATTACAAACAATTAAATTTCGTTTAACTTTTTTTCATTTGGTAGGTTTTTAATTTAATGTCCGGAGGAGTACAACAATGAGACATATTAAAATATACTTATCCGTTCTATTTCCACGTTAAATTTGTTGCTAGTATAAAGCTGAAAGCTGGTGTAGTTTGTAATAACAAAGCTCTAAACTCATGCATTCACCATTCATCCTTCATTCATCTTCGCCTTAAGATACCCACCCTGTTGTGTATGTGTCATATGAACCGTATCACACAAGGAGCCTTCTAATTCAGATACAGATATTTTCACCCATGAGACAGGTTTTCACTTCATAGCCGAGCCAACAGCTTATGTGTGAACACGAAGCTGGTTTGTTGGTCAAACGCCACTGGCTTACTACGTTATCACTGAGGTAAAAGTAATCGGCGGGGTTTAAACCCAGGCCCTGCTGGACACAATAGTCCTGCACTTGAAACACAATACCAGCAGCACTCGACAGTATATATACGTATTGTTACTGTCCCAATTTGACATCAGAGATCGGTGCCTGTTTTTATTTTAATCCGCAAAAGATTGTTCACGACTACAAACACTTTCACATTTTTTACAAACTTTGATAACTTTGTGTCTCGGATCTAACTTTATCTGCTGTCCCAAAAGTGTTATTTTGATACAAAACGATTATTCAAACTCTTATCTCATACAACTAGGTGCTATATCACCTACGTACATAATAAGAAATTCATCCAGTTTCGAGTATTTTAATGTATTTTGTTAGTTTCCCAACGATATGTATGTTCGAGTTTTAATTACCAGTATACTATATTATCTTTAATCATATTACAGGGTTTCCCCTCTGATCCATTCATTTAAAACTTTAACATTGAAAATTGTGAGGTTTCCAATAACTTACAATTAGTTTTGATTGTACCAATGTTCTTATTGTTTATAATGAATTAATCCAGCGTAGTTGAACATTAAAAAAAAATTAAAAAAGAGGTCATCAAAATAATAGAAACCCCTAAATAACAGAAGGTTTGTTTAACATGCTATTAACACGTTTTCGTTTAACATAGTACTGAGAAAAATAGTTTTACATAATTAAAATGTGTAGCGTTTGACCTTTTAAGACGATATTTATGAATACTCGAGGGTAAAATAAACCTGCTGTGATTGACTTAGCCAAGCAATGACATTCCTAATGCATAGAGAGCATATCAGAAGCTAGCTAATGAGCAATGGATTGCTAATTCAAAGCTCAGTAATGCAGTACAGTAATATCTCTATGGACCATAATTATATGGTAGCCAATTAACCTACTTGAATTAATTGACCTACTTATAATAATGCTGTACGTACGTTATTAGCAAATTTAAATTCATAATTTCTATGGAGTTAACAGCAAAGATATACTCGTTAAATATTTATGTTTTTAACTTTTTTACTGCACAAAGGAGAGTGAATGAATTCCTGGATGATTTCCTGACTAAACATGCACAAATCCTGAATGTAAACCCAATTTGCAGTTTATTTCCAATTATTCTTCTATTAAAAGTGTATTACAAATAGTAATAATTGATTTATAGTTTGTTTCCTAATTGGTTTGCTCCTTCATCAACTAATAGACTATACATTATAGGGGATGGAGTAAAGAGTGTAGTATGTTCCTTAAAGAACGTTAAAAGGCATAAGCAAGGGGTATGGAAAGGACCTACCTCCAACCTGTCATTAAGTTTTGTAACATCTAGTGGACTGTTATCAAATCAAGTCCAAGGAAACATTTGTAGTAAAATTGAGATCGGACAGTCTAAGAAACGGAGTTTTAAAAAAAGTGTTTGAAAAGTAAATTTCATGCAATACACCGTTTAAAAAAATCCGTTTTAATTGTTTATCCACATGAAAAGCCGATAGGTTTGAAAAAAAGAGTCATTACATTAATAAGTTAATTATTATTGAAAAAAAATAACGAATTGTCAAAAAGCGTACTGTGTCATTCAGCCCATACCCAAATTCGTCCAATCAGTCTAATTTTGGAAACTACAAGAAACACATTTATAACATACGGTGAATCGGAACCTTATCACCGCTTGGTCTATACCAGTGTATCTTTGTGAAACCTCGTGTGTCTAAATGTGTAGTGTATAGTACCGTATAACCAATCAACGTCTAGAAGTGTTTTCCCCAGTTTTAAGGAATATGTTTGAGACAGAAGTACATTGTCACTTAGTTTGGAAATTAAATGTTATCCCAAACTTTTTTGCCTGTTGGACTAATGTTGTATGACATGTTGTAAGAATTGATTATGAATACTGTAGGTAAAACAGGGTATGGGCTATCGGTTGTTAATGGTATTAAAAATCAATATTAACTTATTTTGCATAGTGTTTTTTTATACTTACTGAGCTCCTTGTTGCCATTGATGAGGTTGGACGCGTAAATCTTCATACCTCCAACCTCGGGGCTCAGTCCCACCTTGTGTACCTTGAGGTGGACCTTATCCTTCAAGGTGACGAGGTGGCCCTCCACCTTGATGGTGGCACTCACGTTAGCTGCAACAACACCACCATTAGACAATAGACGACGACTTTTGATCTAGTCTATGAGAAAGAACAGATTTTATGATTGCATCTAATTTCGTAAAAATCCTTAATAGATTTTTAAATTAATATTTTTGATCGAATCTGGTTATTGGTACCATAGGATGGGTACACTTTTGCAAACTAAATGCAACAGGAAAATTATCAGAATGCTTAAGGAAGTTAACTTTTCAAGTGTATGTATAACATTGTGTAGCTTAATGTATCAAATATATATCAAATATCAAAAATATTAAAAAAAACCTACGTTCGAGAACTTGTGGGTCCAAGTTATATAACTTGAACCTACCAGTCCTTGAACATAGGTTGTTTTAATATTCTCAATAAATACAGTTGATAAATGGGAGGAAAGTTACACAAGGCATCTCACTTCATTCAACACTACGCAGTATTGTGTCATTGCATTGATAATCAAAATAATGAACTGTATAATCATTAATTTTTAATTGTAACTTCTTATTTGTTTGCTTTTATGTTCCACTATAGCAAACAAAAAAAAAACATAGCTTAAGAACGCGTTCGAAGCATGGTGTAGTATTCTTGAATAGCTGCTGAGCACAGAAAATACGCAATCTTCAATGCATATTAACTGACGTTCAAAATCTATTATCTCCTTTTTAGGATTTTACATAATCTCAGTTGATAAAATAAATAATCGTTTACTTTTCATTGACAAATCATTTCAATATCCAAATACAGCAATAAACTGATCTTATAAAATAAGTCCAAGTTTAAAGTCCATTGTCAAGATTTTTTTAAGGTTTGATTCTCTCCCATCTCTAAAGGTAAAGTAAATCCTAACGTTATAAAATCCGTTCTTTATGTACAACCTGATCCGCCTTTCGATAAGAAAGAGGAAACCTGAGATGGGAAGGCTATAAGATGACGGAGGGTGAAATTGCGACTGAAAACCCGCTTGGCTTTATTTGTTATTTTGTTCTGTTTGTATTTGTTACAAGTATGAGTTTTACCAATGATTGCACCCGTTCTACGTTGTGCAATAGCTTTTTTTAAATATAGGTTATTTTAAGAATTTTCTTAATTAATTGCCGTAAGGATTAAAATCACATTTAGTTTAATTACTGGATCAAACGTAAATATAGTTTTCTGTACATTAAATTTCGGTAGTGAAGCTCACATCCAATCTGCGTAGAGACTATAGCTGTTCCATAGAATTAGCCTTTTTTAGCATACACAGATTTATCTATAATTCGCTTATACGCTCATAGTAAGATAGTTAATTTTATTTTACTAGGCACTAATCCAGGGTTGTTTTCTCATTACTGCATGCTAGGCCTAGAGGCTGCTGAATCATTCTTTTTTTTTTATTAAATCCGTTGGTGGTTGGCACGATTTGAACCAAGGACCTTGGGGACCGAAGTCTCAGGCTGGCTCCACTATGATGTTTAACGGGAATACAATACATTATAGGCTAAAATTAACAACCAGAATCTCTTCATGGTTGACACTAAAAAGGTTTATGTATAAGAAAGAAAATGGTATTTTAAGAAACACAATTTGTTGATTGCTCAGTTATTGAAATAGGTTTCGTGATGTAGGACAACGTGCACGTCTTTAACATGGCAAAGAAACGTCTATTACACGGTGGTGTATCTATAGCCAATGTGTTCAGTAAGTTACTTGAATAACAATATTCGTTGTCCCGTTGTAGCTTCAGGGTGTTCACTGTTTCATCCGCATCGTGGCACTACTTTTGTTTTATGAATGAAAAACACCAACCATCACAATATTATTTTGTACTAGGGTATTGAGCTTGTGACATTGTACCACGCCAATTTAAGCGGTTGGCGTTAATATTGGCTTTACACAGCGTACATACCGTAATACTGGTGAGCTTTCCTCCTGAATAGATCCGACCACCATTCTACGAAATAACTCACATAATGCTATCAATGAATGAACCAATAATATGATGCAAGTATTACTGTTATGGACCAAAAGGATTAAATTTTGTTAATATTGGACATTTTACATCATCTCAGATTGTTATACACAAAAATAACAACATAATTTTTTATTGCAAAACTGTACTGTGCATTCGAATAATCTAAATTTAATTTCATGAATGCAATATATACAATTAGGGAAAATAAAACTAACACTAAATTCAAATTACATCTCACGCTAACACCCTACTTTAAATAAATATTTTTGCATCTATTTTAACTCAAACCGTAAAATAAAATCTACACTTTGTAGATATGTTATAACAATGGACACGTTTATACAATGCTATAATATAGAACCTCTGGCAGGTATCATAGCATAATAGGTAATAATAATCATAGGCATAATAGGTAGGTTGGTAAGGGCATAATAGGTATTGGATATAAAGCAAGAAACTGACAAGCAACATTATAGAAAACCGTAAGGATGTTTTGACATTCCCCTCGTATGATATCCAATAGTACACGTAATAATAATTAAAGTACGTACTCATGCTGATGTTGTAGACACCCTTGCCGTTGACTGGGAAGTTTCCTAAGTTACCCTCAGTCTTGTAGGTTCCCTCTACGAGAACCTTAGGCAGGAATATATCTCCCTCGATTACTTGCTTCTCTGGGTTATCCAGGTTGGTTCTGAGAAAACAAAGAAATTGTTAGTTGTATTTTAAACCTTTATCCTATACTCTAATACGAGCAATGTTTGCTTGTATGCTTGCTTGCTTGCTTGCTTGCTTGCAGAAAGATCTCGAAAACGGCTCCGATGATTTTCTTCAAATCTTGTAAATAGTTTATTTTTGGCCTAAAAACGAGTTTCATGCAGTTAGAACTGCCAACAAAAATCTAATTTCGTAGAAAAATGAAACTGAAAATCACATTTTTTTAACATTAGTCTTATGGGTTGCTAGGTAACCATGTTGGATGAATTAAATAACAAGGATAAAGTAAACAAAAGACTTGAAGTTGTAGCATGTGTTCATAGTAAGCCAACATTATACTATACTCTAATACGAGCAATGTTTGCTTGTATGCTTGCTTGCTTGCTTGCTTGCTTGCTTGCTTGCAGAAAGATCTCGAAAACGGCTCCGATGATTTTCTTCAAATCTTGTAAATAGTTTATTTTTGGCCTAAAAACGAGTTTCATGCAGTTAGAACTGCCAACAAAAATCTAATTACGTAGAAAAATGAAACTGAAAATCACATTTTTTTAACATTAGTCTTATGGGTTGCTAGGTAACCATGTTGGATGAATTAAATAACAAGGATAAAGTAAACAAAAGACTTGAAGTTGTAGCATGTGTTCATAGTAAGCCAACTACCCACAGTATACTAGCAAATTACAAATACAGTACAAAAGGAAAACATCACTTAATAATTAGCATAATATTTAGCAAAGATTATACTGAAGATTACTCGATACATTGTAGGGAGTATGTTTTATAGTCTATGGTTTTATCTATGATTGTAGTCAAGGGCAGCAGTGCGAAGTCTGGGATCTGTTTATGACGATTAGATTAGATTAAGGTATCTGCAATCCTAAAATGCTATGGGAAGGGAAGGAAACAGGTCCGCGACATAGGAAGTGGTGAAGGAAGTAATAAAGGCAATCATAAAATGCTATGGGAATAGAGGGAAACAGGTCCGTGACGTAGGGAGTGATGAAGGAAGTAGTGAAGGCGAGCAGTCCGGAGTGTGGGGAATGTTTATGGCGATAAGATTAGGGTATCTGCAATCCTAAAATGCTATGGGAAGGAAGGAAAACAGGTCCGCGACGTAGGAAGTGGTGAAGGAAGTAGTCAAGGCGAGTAGTCCGGATTGTGGGAACTGTTTATGACGATTAGATTAAGGTGTCCGCAATCTTAAAATGCTATGGAAAGGAAGGAAAACAGGTCCGCGACATAGGAAGTGGTGAAGGAAGTAGTCAAGGCGAGCTGTCCGGAGTGTGGGAACTGTTTATGACGATTAGATAAGGGTATGGGCAATCCTAAAATGCTACGGGAAGGGAGGGAAACAGGTCCGCGACGTAGGAAGTGGTGAAGGAAGTAGTCAAGGCGAGCTGTCCGGAATGTGGGAACTGTTTATGACGATTAGATAAGGATATGGGCAATCCTAAAATGCTATGGGAAGGGAGGGAAACAGGTCCGCGACGTAGGAAGTGGTGAAGGAAGTAGTCAAGGCGAGCTGTCCGGAGTGTGGGAACTGTTTATGACGATTAGATAAGGGTATGGGCAATCCTAAAATGCTATGGGAAGGGAGGGAAACAGATCCGCGACGTAGGAAGTGGTGAAGGAAGTAACAAAGGCAATCATAAAATGCTATGGGAATAGAGGGAAACAGGTCCGTGACGTAGGAAGTGATGAAGGAAGTAGTGAAGGCGATCAGTCCGGAGTGTGGGGAATGTTTATGACGATAAGATTAGGGTATCTGCAATCCTAAAATGCTATGGGAAGGAAGGAAAACAGGTCCGCGACGTAGGAAGTGGTGAAGGAAGTAGTCAAGGCGAGTAGTCCGTAGTGTGGGAACTTTTTATGACGATTAGATTAAGGTGTCCGCAATCTTAAAATGCTATGGAAAGGAAGGAAAACAGGTCCGCGACATCGGAAGTGGTGAAGGAAGTAGTCAAGGCGAGCTGTCCTGGGTGTGGGAACTGTTTATGACGATTAGATAAGGGTATGGGCAATCCTAAAATGTTATGGGAAGGGAGGGAAACAGGTCCGCGACGTAGGAAGTGGTGAAGGAAGTAGTCAAGGCGAGCTGTCCGGAGTGTGAGAACTGTTTATGGCGATTAGATTAAGGTATTTGCAATCCTAAAATGCAATGGGAAGGGAGGGAAACAGGTCCGCGACGTAGGAAGTGGTGAAGGAAGTAGTCAAGGCGAGTAGTCCGGAGTGTGGGAATTGTTTATGATGATTAGATTAAATTATTTGCAATCCTAAAATGCTATGGAAAGGGAGGGAAACAGGTCCGCGACGTAGGAAGTGGTGAAGGAAGTAGTCAAGGCGAGTAGTCCGGAGTGTGGGAACTGTTTATGACGATTAGATTAAGGTATTTGCAATCTTTAAATGCAATGGGAATGGAGGGAAACAGGTCCATGACGTAGGAAATGGTGGTGAAGGCGAGCCGTGTGGAGTTTGGGAATGGATTTATGCATCTCCAATACTAAGGTGCTTTCAGAGTGAACTAATGATTTTCCCCGAGCAAAGCTCGGTCCCCAGGTACTAGTAGGTAATATATGTAACCATACTGCAAAATGTCTCAATTCAATTATTCTTGTGGCATGAGTATAACTTTAAGATAAAGAAAATATGTTGACTGACGATAGTATATGCTAACAGCTACTTCTTAGCTAGTGTACAGTTTTGTGCCCAAAAGAAGAATATATTAAATCTATTAAATATACCAATAACTTTACAATATTTAGCCACATTTGTTGAATTTGTGGGTGATAGTTAGATGAAGTTAATTTTAATTTTGAAGAGTGTCGCCGTACAGCAATGCTTCAGGTGTATTATGTATTGGGGAACTGTACCAATCCAATGTCAACATTAACATAGTCCTTCATCCCGTGCCAAGACTCGGTACAAGGATGTCTATCATACAGGGTCAATCACATAAACACCGGCGTCAGGTATTGTTGCCCTCGTTAAGTGCTAAACTGATTATTACACACGTAATTCTTTATTAACATTGTCTGAAAATAGTTATTTTGCATTGAAATCGTCTGCATTTTACATGACATTTAATTATTAAGGATGATAAAAAAAAACTTTAATAAAGACGTAAGCAATGTTTTTACCCTTACATTTTTCATACGCTGTGAATGACTTAACCTATTTATTTCTTTCTTATGATGACAGGTCATTTTTGAAAGTATGCTTGATCAAGTAACAATGTAATTTTCTTTACAAAAACAGTAATTATTTTTTAAGGACAAAATTTAAATAATGGAATATAGTATTAGACCGTACGAAATTATTTAGTAGAATTAATGGCTAAGATTAACGCCAGGGTTACATAACAATTGATGGATAGAGGAATAACCTACTTGTTAGTGACAAAATAGTCTAGGTATTTTGTTGTCAACACCAGCACAAATATAGTTAATATGATTTCACGTTCTCTTACATTTTTTCAAGAATAACAAACTACTGCTAGGCTTATTGGAAACTAATAGTTTCCTGATATAATCTGTACCAAAAAACTCATGATAATGTTACTGATTACATTACTGATTACATACTGATTACATAATTTCAAGAATAACATACTACTGCTAGGCTTATTGGAAACTAATAGTTTCCTGATATAATCTGTACCAAATAACTCATGATAATGTTACTGATTACATTACTGATTACATACTGATTACATACTGATTACATTATTTCAAGAATAACAATCTACTGCTAGGCTTAATGGAAACTAATAGTTTCCTGATATAATCTGTACCAAATAACTCATGATAATGTTACTGACTCATAATAATGTAAGGTTTTAAGTTGTGAATTCATATTTGTCTTCATATTATTATCTTCGTCACGCACTGTAACACTAGCTGAGCACATTCTTAACTCCTTAGGACGTCTTTAAGGTGGTTTTTAAAAGTCAAATAATAGAATGCATGCAAAAATTAACATAGTAATATTCGTATTTTTACTCAATATAACATTTTTTTTTTGACTTATTTCTTTCTGTGACATTAATCCAATAATATTTATTACATATTTCGCAACAAAATATTTCCATAGACCAAGTGGTCTATAGTATATTTCAATAATTTAAATATGTTATGGATAAGTTTAACTTTATTTGTTGAATATAAACTAAATATAGCACCCAAATAATTTATAATTGTAAACATTTTTTAATGAAGCGCTGTTTATTTCCACTGTTACGTAAAATCAGATAAATTTTAATTAGACCGTAAAATAAGTTGATAACCTGGAACACAAAGGATAGCCGGCGAGAATTTCCCAACAAGATCGCACGGACAGAAATACATTAGCATATGGAAGTGTGGGAGTGAGAGGGGATGATGCAGTGATGAGAGGGATAGAGAGAGAGAGAGTGAGTGAGAGTGAGAGGGGGAATTGTGTAAGAGTCCTTGAGGAAGAGCAGCACGTCTAACAATGTGTGGTTCACTATTTTTGTGTTTTGTATTTATATTTCAGTCCATTCATGAAGTAAAGTAATATTTTAAGTAATCAACTTTTATATCTTGTAAAAGAAATTATTTCTGTTATATTTCGTATTAATTGAAATGCAACTCGTACATGTTTGTTTGATGAAAGGTGAACAAAATCTACTCGTTTATGTTTTAACTCAACTCAAACCAATGTTTATGTTTTAACTCATTGTATCCAAGAACGGAAAAATGTTTTGAAATCAATGTAAAGAAAAAAAACTAATGTTTTACCACAAACCCAAAATGCTATTTAAACACAAGTAATGTGTTCGAGGTAGTCTATGAGGTGTTGGTTGTAGTTCTGTGGGTATAGTTGGTGTATTTATTAATATTTGCGATGCCAAGTATGTCATGTTGGATTATTGTAATAAAGAACTCAATACATACTTTATAAAGGAGATAATATTTAGTTTATCTTGAAATTGTTTCAACTTATTCAAGCAAACGCATTCCATTTTAAGTCTAAGGATGCATTTAACAAACTTTTGTCTAAGTTTTGTCCAAACAAACTCAATTGTTGTCACTGTAGTGGTTTGAACGGAATATTATATAGATTCTAAATTGAAGTATTTCCTTGAAATACTCTTTACATTGTTAACAATTATAATTTTTAAATCTAATTAATTACCAAAAGTTGTCAGTTTTAAGTGTCATTTATCCACCGATGTTTTGCTATGCGACAGGACACTCAAGCAAGAGTTCACCAGCTATCTATCACCAGTTTATGATGACTTACTTGTCTTCGTCACTTGTTTATGCAACTCATTGCCAATTGGGTTTGGTAATCACGACGCCGGTTTTGGAATGTAGTTAGTTATTCTTTATTAAACGAAGTTACTATTTTATTTTCCTCTTGAAGGACATATTCTTACCTTGACTTTTTAAATTTTAGGTTTGTTTTATTTTCAAAGAATTATTTAATCTTTTGACAGTTTTATTGTGTATAAAAAGGAGGAAGCAAACCCTTGTCACTTATTGCTTGTTAGTCGTTGTTAGTAATCACGATAACGTGTTGAGTGTTCAAGGTTATCTGGAGATAAACAACGCACGTCAATTACCTATCACGATCAAGATAAGTGGTAACGTGGTGGTAACCGGCGAATTAGGAAAACGTGCCGTCACGGTGGGCAAGTCTTCAAGCATTTAAGATGAATAAACAAAACATAAACACATTGATGGCTGTTTTAAACCACTAGATTGTCAGGCTAATGTTCACCTGTTTATACTTAAGAGGTAAACATTATCACGCCATTGATATATTGTTTACCAGAAGGACCAAATAGTATTGTTCTCTTATGTTTCGAGTTAATGTCTAAAAACTGTTGTTTGAAATCATCAAGAATATCAACGATTTCAGGAATCGCCTAGGTCTTTAATGAACCCAAGGCGCTCAATTTTGTGAACAGTGATGCCAAGGTTTCCTTCATAAGCTCTATCCATGTAAAACAATGAAATAAGGGAATTGTTAAATATGCTATTACATAAAAATCATTTAGTTTCAAATTTATAATAAAAAATAGTCATCAATGGTAGAAAAGGACCGATTTCAGATAAAACCCCAAACAAAAATATTACGGGACATAGATAAATACATAAATCGAAATATGTTTTTACCTCAGTAGAAGATGGTACCAGTTATCTAAACGTCACGCCGTATCGCAGCCTAGTAGTGTTTTGCAGATTTGGACCGGCATTAACCACTTTTAACTTAAGAACTGAAATTTAGCTTTTAATTTGGTAAAACAAATTATTCAACGATGGAACTTAATGAAGTAAGATCTTGCAGGCTGATTTAAAAAAAAGATTATGGTCTCGAAAACTACAGTTTGACAAATACGTTTAAGAATGCATCCAAAGTTTAAACAGCATTTCAGTAGAAGGTAAAAAAGAGTTTAGTAAAATTGATGGCCAGATTCACTTATATCTTACGTGCAAATGGATTTTCCCTGCAAAAGTGCATTCAGTTTTATATTAAGAACGTGTGCTGTAAACCCATTTCCTCAAGACGTATATTGACTTTGCTTTGGATCAAGTATCCACCGTCTCCCTCTTAGGCTGACGAATAATCACCTGATATCAAGGATCTGGACATTCCTGAGGCCGTGTGTAAAGCTGTTCCTGACCAGAGACTTGGCTGTAATCTCACTGCCATTGTAGGTGATGAGGACCTGAGGGACGTAGAAGGGGTCAAGAGGAGGCATGTTCAACTCCTTGATGCCAGCTGGAACATAACATTCCACATAACTTGTGTGTGGTGACAGGCATGTAAATGATTATTTTATCTTCATCATGTAGGCTATGTGGATAATCTTTCGTCGTTTATTCGTGAACATTTTTGTAGCTGGGAAATTAATAGAATAAATTAGGAAGCTTATCAAATTATTATATTCAATGTTAACTTTTGTCTTGTATGAAAGATGTTTTTATTAATTGCATTTACATTTATCTTAATTATTTCTTAGCCTGGATAATAGCGGTTGACATACAGCAAAAGTGGCAAAAGAGACATTCTGTTATGGTCGAGTTGCTGACAACGCTCAAAACTTGGGATCACCAAGCCCAGATATTAACATTCTTGAGCGAGTTGTAAGTGGAACTTGTATTGTCTAGACATAAAACTAGAGACATTTAGAACTTTGTTTTCTCAAATGAACTAAGACCAAAGTATACTTTTTAAACCATTGATATGAATACCATTATAGTAAAATATTCACCCTAACTGGGAGTTCTATAAATTTGATGGTTAGTCAGTTTCGTAAACTACATTGTTACGTCTACGCTTACATCATCATATCTATGTAAGCGTACCGAGATCAGATAACAATGTGTGTTAACCATGAACACTTTAACATAAACCATTAGCAACTTGGCGGCAACCAGAGCACATTGTTATATGGCGGGAAATGTACCCCTCTACAGTGTTGCCAGATGTGAGATAATATCTCATTTTCCATATTAAACTGTACTTTGTTACAAATATGATTTTCGTGTAGGCCTCCTATGATTCAATTTATACGATAAGACTATAATTTCCACGGTTAATATTTGTGGTCAGAAACTGATCTAGTAACTATTTTGCTTGTTCAAACATATACATGTTGATAACAATATTTAGATAAAGATAGTACATTCAAATATTTTGATCATTATATGAGTAGCTTAATTCATTCCGCTGTAACATATATATAACTTAGTTAAACAATTACGATAACAGTGATATGGCCTTTACAATCTATCAAACACGTCCTTTAGACTGATCATCCTAATAGATCGGCTAATTTCAAGCTATTATTTTGCGAGTTATATGTAGAGTGAGCGTTGATGTTTATTACTCGTTTATTGTTATTTTACAAACTTTCAAATAAACATGGTCAATAAAATAATAATCTACTCGTAAGCTTAATGAGAAGTAAAGCGTACTCTTTTCCTCAAATAAAATACACACATTTAGAAGATAGCAGTGCACTCAAACGTTACTGGATAATCGCATCAATTTAGGCTTGAGATTTACATTAAAATCTGAAGTCCATCCAGATGAATCAAGGTCAATGTTTTCAATTTCAAATGTTCCATTAATCTTCTTCCTAAACTCTGGCAACACTGTCTGAGGCATCCAGAAATGTCGCAACCAAAACACTATCATCTTGCCTAACATCTGGTCGAACCAAAAGCATAATCAACTAGTTATCCTTGCTAGGGAACCGGTGTCTGTTAACTTATCAAAAGTCACATTGACTCCATTTTCGTTGCCAAATCTGCCAAACGATTCAATTAAATCACTGTGGTTTCAAAGTAGAATGATTTTCCTTAAAATTGGCAGCAAAACCGTAATGGGCTTTTATAGGTCAGATGGTAAATTGGAACGGCTAAATTCATGATAATAGGGTCAGATTCGTATAAGGGCTTGGAAAGTTTGCATAATGATAACAGTATGTTGAGTGCAGTGTTGAAAAACAATTTAGATGACAATTTAATATAAAATTTAAATAACCATCGAAACATTGAAAATGGTTTAGTCAAATGCACTGATGCTAAAAAAAAATTGGGAAAGATGGGAACATAATAATTTTATTCACATATCCTAAATATTAGGAAGTCTTTGAAGTGAAATGAATAATTTTAGTATCGTTGATTATATATTTTGATTAACTTATTTAGTTAGTGGTCGAAATGTTTCACCTAGTTTAAACTTAATTAAAATATAGGAAAATCCTCTGTTTGGATAAATACTTTGTTACTAAGATTATTATATCGCCTCGATAAAACAAAACTTTATAATAGTATGGTTATATAAATTTAAGTCGGAAACCCATTGAAAGTAAAAAGTCTGTACGATATCTAAAGATACATTAATTTACTATCTTATAATAAAACAATAAAAAAAACGTATTTTTGCAAAACAAACAGTGTATTTTCATTTTCATTTGTAAAGGAGGGTAAAGTGTTGTTTGTTACTAAAATATCATACTAGTAAATATCTCCAAGATGTAAATTTTCACAAAGGTGCAAATAATAGTTGTTATAGAGAGGATGACTACCCTTACAATATGTCAAACATTTATATTTAATTACAAACTAAGTCGTCTATTAATTAAAGTTACTCTCATTAATTTTAACATTTATAACATACGACATGTTTACTTCTAAGCTCGTAGTTATAATTTTAAACCCTCTTGTAAGGCGATACACATCTATTAGTAGGCCTATATGGTAATTTCCATTAAATTAACTACCGTTCTACAATGTTTGGACAATAGATATTCTACACTGTTCCATGTTGTATAGATAGTACAGAGGCCACAAAGTAGTTATAGCTTCTGTTTCCAGCTTGATAATGCTACAAGATTTATGCAAACTCGGCTGTCAGGCTGTAAACTGAGCTAATCTGCATAATCTTAAAAGCGCCTCAATGCCAATCAGTTTTGATAAGCCGAGGTAAACAGTTTTGCAAAATGTAGGGTCTCTTTTACAGCTTAATTTTCATCTAACAAGAATGAGGAATAAGAATAGATTTCCTATAATATATTTTCAAATATTCTGGACATACTAGTGCAACTGTTGCTCGAATTCGAGCAATTGCAACTTATTAAAAGCGTTATTTCAAAACGAATAAGAGTCATAATTTCTGATGACTTAAAAGAGTCAACTAGAGATAATGTATCAATCACTCCAGTTCAGTTATAGAAATTAATAAAAACAAACTCACTTTGAAAACGAACAATCTTGTGTGTATCATGTGTTTACTATGAACATCTGTAACTAATACAAATTATTCGTCTGTTTAAGTAAACAAAATCTTTTCATCATAAGAAATACATTAGGGTTTTGATGGCTTGAGAGGCAAAGCCCGAGGACTTTTATTACAGGAATTGGTGAAAGGGGGTGTCTACACAAAAATCTCTTACTTTTGACACAACGTTTGTAAAAATCCGTCCATTATTATCGGAGGAGTAGTGTTTCGTAGAAATCACCTTCACGTATTATACATAAGGATTTTTAAATACTTAATATACATAAATTTAAAATAGTTTTCTGAAGTTTAAGTGGGTCGTTTAATATAGTTTTCTTTTAGTCAACATTAATCATACAAACACGTCCATGATCATATGCAATAAAAAAGGTTTTAGTTTGCAGGAAAAAAGGTGTAGGTTGCATTTGGTATAAATATATTCTTTGTGTATTTACATACTTATGAATCTTTCTTTCTTCGGTACTTAGTTTTACACGTTAAGTTAAACAAGTTTTTTGCAATTTCCTCAAATCCTTGATCGTATAGCTCATAACAATATAACACGAGTATTCTCAGGACAAATTTATAGTATTATAGATTTCCTTTCGTCTTATATTCTACTATGTTTTTTTTTTTTATTTCTCAAATAAAAGGTTTGTGATCTATGGTATTTATTTACAGTAAGCTAAGGTTTTCTTCAATGTAAGGATATGCAAGACTATCCCTAATATAATCTAAGAACCGTTGAGAGACCAAAGTTATTTCACCGAATATGAACAAACTGTGCAACATTTGAAAGAATACAAACAAGGCTTGGGCTATTTTTAACTCACATTTGCTCAACTTGGGGATGTTTTGCCTGAAGGCGTTTAGTAGACATTGGTCGAAATCCTCAGCCTTGATTTTGCATGGTGCTGGAACAACAAACAAATTATCAGTAAGCAATATGTTTGGTTATTCTAGTGACATTCTTTCCACAGATATTTTCATAGGTCACAATAATATTATTTTCTTTAACAATATTACTGTATACATCTTGCCAGTGTAGTTTTTCTACTGTCACACCTAGGTTTACTCTCGTATATTCTATCGTTTCATTCCGTTTACGTTATTTCATTGTTACGTAAAATAACCCAAGTTGTTTTAATCACGATAAAATTATTAAATATTAACAACTGTTTTTAATTACTATTAATGTAAGGGGAAAATCTTATGCGTGGTTTTTTAATAGATGAATTTTTATTTTTATTATTCAATATTAAACTCATAAATGACTTAAAATTTTTTAATTTAAACCAATTGGAGTACAGTTTATGTATTTGAGGCACATTATAATAACAATAATATGAGTTGAATAATTGTGTTGGTTTCAGTTTAGTAGAATTACCTAATTTCATGTAATTTTAATATGTTTACAAAAACATCCAAGCCAATCATTTTCGAAAGTTTTATGGCTCATTGCGGACATCAGTTATCTGGGATTACGATTAGTAAAAAACGATCTCTTAAATATCTTTAACTCACCAACACCAAAATTATCCCAAACAAAGGATCAAATTTTTCACTTTACATTTTCATTGGTTTTGGAATACAATTAATTACTGTTAGGTTTACATTATTATAAACTAAACATTTTAAAATTCATTAAAGGTTGGTAGCAAGCAAATTCAAGTAGGTAAAAGCTGATTTCGTTAAATCAATGTCATGTGTATCAAATTTTATTTTTCAATGCTTCCGTTACATTGTTCCACAACAAATTACAATAATTAACACTGTGTTTACCTGATGGTATCTCAGCGACCGCGACGGCCGCTAACGCTAGGACATACAAACAGAACCACATCCTGATGAAAGTGCAAGTGATTCTGGCCAGGATTCACCTTGACAGCTCTTATAACTGACCTACCTTCCCTCTCCCCTCCCCCCCAAACAGCTGATCCACCAGCTGCTGAAGACGGGATATTGGGCAGTGGTGGAGGATAAGTCGGGTGCCGAACGATTAGGGGTAGATGTTTCATTTATACATATTTAAGTTTTTTTTTCTTTCGTTATAGATAGTTGTATTTAAATCACAATAATACCACAAAAGACCGTACGTTACAGTGTTGATCTTTACATCAAAGTGTGTTTGATTTATGAGCTTAGGAAATCATAATGAAAATATCTTACTGGTTTTCACCGAATTTCGATATAGGGAAATAAGTTAGCTATTACCGTTGGTCTCGTGAGAATACTAATGCCTGGATCCAAGTCCGATTTACTTTTCCGTTTTGGTATCCCCAGAGGTAAAAAAACAACATCCCTCCAGTGTGTGTATGTGTTTGTTAGCAGATAACTCAAGCCAAAATGGACTGGCTTTTGATGAAATTCTTACCATGTAAGATTGCGTCTATGCACACGAGTTCACGAACCATCTCGTCAGGACTATGGGGACGGGGTTTTGCTGAGTTAAAATTGAGTTTACCAATTTTTAATCACTCAAAAATTCAATTATAGATTTTCTTTCTTAACCACTTGTAAAGATAAAAAAATAATAATTTAGTGTGGTATATTGAAGTGTTGTTGTGCGCTTAGTGATTACAGATTACATTTTTAAAACTGTACTTTTAAAATTCCCATGTCATTTTTATGGAGTTTAGCTTTTGTAGTTGTTTAGTTTATGTACATATTTAAATATTTTGGTAAAATTTGGGATAGGTACCTATATATTTATTCATACTTGCCGTATGTCATTTCACTTTGAAAAACATTGTATTGCCCTTACTATACTCATTAAGTTACACCTAATGATGTGTTAATATGTGCTAAACTTGTAAGGAGATATTTTAATGAAAATAAACAGGCAAATGGAGAATCACAATGTAAACGGGTTTGCTGTGGTAGGGGCGCTAGTAATGTTTAGTTTAAGTCAAAGTTGTAAGCCTGTTTTATTTGGAGCCTTTATAGTTTCAACCCATGATTAAATTACAATTTAAATTAAATATTGATGAGATACTGTAGATAATATTTTGTTTAATAAACCTTAAAATGAACCTTTCTGCAGACCATAAGTCGTTTATTCGGCAAATAAATTGAATAATACCTTCCTCTATTGTAGTTTTATTTTATTTTTAATTTTAAAAATAAAATACTCTTAAAACATATATCATCTATACAATCACCTTTCTTAGAGCCAAAACTTGTAAACCAAAACAGTAAGCTATTTTTAACAGTTGTTTTCACACTGTACTATTAAAAGATGATCAAGACTGTAAAATCGTTAGAATTGCAAAGCAGCTACTGCCCATCTAGTCGGGGGGGGGCTTGTTATTATACAACAATTAAGTCCTCAAGGACAACTCAGCCAACAAAAGGATAAATTGTGTCCTTAAGATAATTACAGGTTCCTCCAGTTCCTTCTATCCTGACCGGTAATTAGTAATTAACTACTAGAAGATGAGGCTGGTCAGGAGTAGAAGCCAACATTGGTAAGTAGGTACTTCAGTTAAATAATCCATATTGTACAATGATTTTAGTTTCCTCCGCTATAGTCTGCCTACATAGTACATATATGGAGAAGGTATTGGTTTTGTAAAAATGTTTGAGTTTGAGTTTTTAGTGGATATATCGTTTCGGGTCCTCCTAAACCCGAAAAAGTGGTTTTTGAGGTGATGTCTGTTTGTGTCTGTATAGTGGTGTATGTTTGGATGTGTACAGAGCTACACGCCAAACCTATGGTTCGATTTTGATCAATTTGGTTTTTTGATAACCATTGTATTTCCAGGCGTTTTTAAAATTTTTTATAATCGTCATTTTTTCTTTTAAGAAGGTTTAAATTTTATCTTGATAGAAATAAGTGGAGTAAAATTATAATTTAACAATTTTTACAAAAAAATTACAATCTCAGCTCCACCTTTGAATTCTATCACAAGTCACAGACCGCCATGATTTGCTCTATCTCCTCAGACACATGCTTGTTGATCTTTGAAATGCAAAAACAGCTCTTGCCTTTATTAATGCAATTAATGACCTTTTGTTTTCGATTTTAATAATAATCTTCTATATACTTATTTAATACGCAAGCAGGATTTTTGTGACAATTACTCCTCCGAAACTACTGAACCGATTGTCATGTTTTTGGTGTCATTAGAAAGAGCGTAGCGTGAAGTTGTGCAGGAAACTTTCTCTTTAGGGAAATAATGAGAGATTGAGGCCCTGGAGCCCTTTGAAGTTTCGTATTTCTCCATAAGATTAACATTGGAAACGAAAATTGTTATGAAACTTCAGCTGTTGTCAGAAATCAAAAGTGAGAAGAAGAGCATAGGTTAATCCTAAACAGTCAATAAGTTTGCTAATATAGTATTATAACAGTTCGCTACAAATATTTACTTAGCAATTGCTCGAATTCGAGCAACAGGGACACTAGTCTATATAATTAATACGCTACACGAAAGTTTGTCGGTTGAACTCCTCCGCCATTTCTTAACCGATTTTATCCATTGACGTCTCATTGGAAAGAGCGTGTCGCGTAGATTTGCAAACTGACCTTACATTTTTTAAAAAGTCCCTTGGGCTCTGCCCCAGTGGCTTTGAAAGTTCCCATGTTATCCTTATGAAGAACATAATTGTTTACATTTTGATCAGCTGTATAATTTTATTGCTGTTATTTAATTTTTAATTCAATGAAACACATTGAGTACATTTATTTACTATTTGAGTTTGTGTAAACATAACCCCCAAGACGGATCGTGTTAGTATGGTTGTATCTTAAATTTGTGTATTTATCGTTGTTTTGTGCCGCTATGATGGATTGTGTTAGCATGATTGTAACTTAAATTTGTGCATTTATCGTTGTTTTGTGTAGCTATAATTTGTTTATTATTTGTTGTTTATTCCTTATGTCTCTGACGCAACGACAACGAAACATAGACAGGAAGCGCAATCGTTATAACGACCGCAGCAGAACAGTGGCGCGTAAAAGGCTTAACTCATCACAGTCTGAACCTGGACCTGGACACTATTAGGTTACAAATGCGCCCTAACACTACCCCAAAACGACTTTTCGTTCTCAATTTGCCCTCTATTAATGACCTGTGTTGCCTGGACAGTGAGGCATTTTGAGAAGGAGGGAACCGTCCGGAATGCTTTAGGTTTATCAATAACGAAGATAAACAGGGTCTGAGTTACACAACGGTAATATTTGAGTTGATCTTTTAAACTCATTGTAAATATGACTGTTATTCCATCTGAAATAACTCCTGTAATACTTTGTTATTGCTCGAATTCGAGCAACATGTACACTAGTTTTAATAATAATATTTTCAGTCATTGCTCTTAAACACATTTGAAATTCATTTCTGTTTATTCCACCTAAATAATTTGCAATAACAATTGATACAACAAACTAACAAATTAAAACAGAATAATAGCAAGATATTTGACATTATAACAAATGCTCCAGTGTAGCCTATTCACTCATAAATAAAACCAAAGATACCATGGAAATTCATTCAAGATATTTGTATCAATCTAGTCGAATTGTGGAAACCCATTTCTGTTTTCATTAATATTTAGCAGGTTGTTATTACCTGATGATTGCCAATCATGGCAATCTGTGTTATTCCCAATTACTCCAGATGATTACAGATTGTGGTTAGAAATGTTGAGTAATTTTATTTGGAGGTAATTAACATTATTACTAATCTTGTATAATAATTTCTTTGTAAACCTATTTCACTCTCGACTTACTTGTAATGTTTTATTTCTTTTTATAAACAAATAAAAATTTTATATTTCTAAATTACAAAATAGTTTTTGTCAAAACTATCTAGAATGACTTTCTCTACTGTGAAATATGTGAATACTTTTTGCCCTGAGAAAATATCATTTGATATAGGATCTGTCCCGTAAAGAATTACTAACTATCTCTTATTGCTACTAAAGTAAGATGCATCTAATTCCTATCATGTTAACAATAAATATTACTTATCTATAGAGTGGGCTGTGTTAGTTATTAAATTTTTTTACTGATTCTAATACCAGATGCTACTTAAGTCAATATCATCAATTATTCCATTACCAATGAAAAAAAACAGTTGAGTCCAGTATTGAACCATTGAAATAGCTTATAGGTTAGTAAGAATAAAACAGGTGATGGGATTAATATATTAATAGGTGAATACTGCAACCATTCAGTTGTGTGACACAGCTAACTGTTGATAATATCATTGGAATGAACATTTCATTTTTTCTTCTGAACGGTTTTTTACATGATCATTTGATCAAATGTTTTTCATGACTGATTACCTTACCAGTAAATATTTGTTTATGGTATGTGAATAAACTTAATCAAGTTATAGGCAGAGTGAAGGAAAATGAGAACAACACTAAGTATTTAATTTTATTGTGGACTATCATTTACGGATATTGAAGCAATCGTGACTATCATGACTAACTGCTCTATTATAACTAAGTGCCACCTTACAAATACCAAAGATTATTACATTCTTGCACAAAATAAGAAGTTTTATTATTCAGTACATGTTTAGAAAATGTTTCAATTCAGAGCAGCACAGTCTGTATCCAGACATTGAATTTTTGAGGAAGCGAGCAAGTAAACTGGATCTGTGAGGTACCTTGACCAACTGAGGAGAAAGGATCTGCTGAAGGCTGGATGAGGAATTGGATCAATGTCCTGTACCAAACAAACACAATACACTACAACATCTGTCCAGTTAACCACAGTATCAAAGGCTTTACTGTGTGAGATTAAATAAAAATAAGTGCAGTATTGTGTCATTACACATCTACTTGTGAAGACGAGGTATACTTCAGCTACTGTCTGTGAGCTATAAAAACCATTGCTTTGCAATATTATAACTCCCTAGATACAGTAGCTTTCTTTCAGAGTCAGTGATGGACAAAAGACAATTTTCTCCCTCCAAAACTAACTCTGCATTCATGTATGCATTGAGCACTAAGCTTCTAAACTTCAATCACTTTTTATTTTATTTTTTTATCCCTTTACTCATCACTTTATGAGATATCATACACATTGGATAATTCTTAGTTAGCACCCCAAATAAAATTGGATTAACTGAGGTGATAAAAGGGGGAACTGATTCCCCAAGTAAAATATATAGCTAATAAACCTAAAAATTATATTACTAAATAAAAAGTGTTTTCTGTAATTATGATTTTTAATAAGTGACACAAATAATAAAAAATAAAAAACCATGTTTTAAAATCAAATTATCAAAACAAGTTTAGCAGTATTAATGATATCACGTTAAAAAAAATCTTCCACAGATTAGACAATTTCTTCTCATTAAATATTTATGACTTATCGAACTCTGCAGGTCAAAGTGCAGGAGATAAGGTAGAGCATGTACAGAAGCCTAGGCCAACGCCCCTAGTATTTTTATAGCAATGGATAGGAAAGGAACTATAGTTACCATTATTTATAGGTTATGTTTATTTGTTCTGGTCGTAAGGTAAGTTTTACGTCTTGTTACCACACAGTTGGCAAACTTACTGATGGATTAATTAAGGAAGTTTATATTTATTAAGAAAATGTTCATCTAAAAGTACCTAATAAGGAAGAATACAAATATTCCATAATTATTTAGGCAATAGATAGTTCAAATATATAAATACAGTGAATTTACCTTTCAATTTCAGGAAATTAAAAAGTATTTTGTAAATAAAGCTGACTTACTTTATTGTGATAATCGATTTACACTTTTATGGTAGCTATCGTTTTATACAGTAGTTTTTCATTTTGTTTTATAGATAATTTTTAATCAGTTTCATAAATTGTAAAAATGTATACTTTCTAAACTAGTTATCCTGCCACACTTTGTTTAGTATATTTATTGTCAAGACGGTAATTTAACTATATGAAGAGAGAGCTTTTATCCATCTTCCTTATCAAGAGCATACATCTATCTCAAAACAGCATAGCAATACAAATCAAATATTAATCAATTGGTGGTTAATTGGTGTTTAGTTATACAAAATACTGACTTAATACTATAAAAACAAATTGATATACGTAGCTTTTTGATCCATATTGTCCTAGAAAAAAAGCAAGACATGTAAAATTGAAATAAAAAGGTAGGCTACGGTATGAAGTTTTTGCAAAATATTACAAATTCCTAAATTAAGCTGTTTTATGATATTTTTGCGGTTTGAATGCTTTATGAATAGAATGCTAATGAAAAACAAACAAATGGACAAGTTACATTTTAGAATCAACAAAGAAAAGATACACTGAACTGTAAAAATTCACAAACATGATTATTTTAACCTAAAATAGAGAATGGCATGTTTGTTATGTTTTTAATTAATATTTATTTATATTTAGCTGCAGAGCAGATACAAACTCTGAAGTTATCGTAACATTGAGCACAGGAAAAGTTTCTGGATTGAAACTAGTCTCTGCAGTCAACAAGGTCTATTATAGCTTTCAAGGTATCCCATATGCCGCCCCTCCAATTGGCTACCTCCGATTTAAGGTAACTTTTATTCTTTTTTTTGTACAATATAACAAAAGTAAGATATTTGTAATGACTCTGCAGTATATGACTCACTCAATATATCCTAGAGGTAAGTCATCAAATATTTTGAAGGTCGTCAGTTTTATTCAGAAAAAAAAGGCAGTAGCAAGAAAATTAAAAACCGCTATAGCCTTGATAATGGAGTCTTTTAAATATTCTCTTTAGTTGTCAAAAAAACTGCTGATCTTAGCCTTTAACAAAACTGCAAATGTCATATATTTGCTCTCACTCATCTTACAACAATTAGGTTAATCAAAGACAGGCAGCTATGAGTGGAATAAAAAAAGGAGCCACAAGAATAATTAAGGTAAAATTTGGACCCTTTATATGTGCCCAGAGATTTTCCAGATGTTGATATTGAATCTTGAGTTATCATGTATTGTATTAGGTCAACATTTGCCATTTGCTTACTCTTGTGAGATCGATTTTATTATAATTTTATTTACTTGATCAGTGATAAAATTTTGTACCTATATTATGTATATGCAATTTTTACTTAACCTCAACCTATAATACTACAACAATGACTCCACATTTAAGTTTGCAATTTATACCGGTATTTTGAGAATATCACAACAAACAAATATTTTTAATTTAATGGAAAATATAATATATTTTCCAGCCTCCCAGACCACCCCACAGGTGGAATGGCACATTGAAAGCCTACGAAGCTCCTCCAGCCTGCTCTCAGCCATGGCAAAGAGTACAGTTTCCAGAGAAATACAGCGAAGACTGTCTGTACATTAGTGTCTTCACTCCCTACCTACAGGTATAGTCAGTAGTTTGCTCCTTCCTTACCGTAAATAATAGTGTTGATTTTAATATTTTATTTTATTTACAATACTAGAAGACAGGTTGAATACCAAATTACAAAGTACAGTAGTATTAATATGTTACAAAAAATGTGTTCACATACATGATAATAATGTATTCAAGTAAATCTTCCGGAAAAAATTACTTCAAATTTTTAAACTCCCAATATAACAATAATAGCATAACAATAATCTATTAAAATATAACAATAATTGGATAAAGATATAAGGAGGTACAAAGGTACAAGACATTAGGCACTTGAACTCATATTTTTTTCTGGTTGGTTGGTGGTTGTATTTTAGTGTCAAGTATATTTAAAAACAAATTTACATATGAACTTTCACATCCCTCCTAGTACAGTGTTTTGTACTTAACTTCATAGAACCGGGCACCTAATGTCTGTGACGTCAATGATATCATAATTCTAGACGAGACCACACAAAATGATCCATTATTGTAGAATTTTTTTAATAATTTGACTACCTATATTTTTGCAACAATACATTAGTTTAGTTTGATTTGCTCTCGCTTGACTCCTAAGTGTTCAGCCACCAGGAGATAAGCTTTTACCAGTCATGGTGTGGATTCATGGAGGAAAGCATTACCAAGGGTCAGCCACCAAGCACAAGTATGGAGCAGACTTTCTGATGACTGGGGAAGTAATTGTGGTCACCTTCGACTACAGACTTGGTGTATTTGGTGAGTGATCCTGTAATAAAATAAACTAAATGCCCTCTGGAAATATATTTAATAAGAGCTCACACACTAGTAAAATTTATTTACCTTAAATGAGAAAAATTTTGTCTATATCTATGCACCATATAAAACACTGAAAAAAATAGGTTTCAGATTTTTTTTATCTGAAAAGTTAGGCTACTTGCTCATTGATTCTAGCAGATTGGTGAATTGGTGGCTCAGTCGGTAGAGCCTTGGACTTCAGACCCAGGGCAGCATTGTCGTGGGTTTGGCATCCTCTGGTACCTCCACTACTTCAGTTCACCCTGTACTGTACCAGCTCACCCCTTGCTACATGCTTGGATAAGTTAAATACATGCCTCTGTGGAGGGGGCAAGTGCAAAGTAAGAGAAGCCGCCAAGCTTCACATTGAGCAGTTTCACCCAGGGACCAAGGATTAATATAGCCTGGCAATGTAGAGTGTCTATTAAAGCCATCAGTAGTGGCAGGGCCTACCAAAGGTTAAGAGAACATCACATAATTTGTCTTCTGCCAAAGCGTGTTAGCGAGCTGAGGATGATGGTCACTTTGTAAATGAAGAGTCAAAAAACAAAACAAATCAAACCAAAATTTAATTTAATGGATTCATTAAACCTGCTTGCTGACTGTCTAACTTCATATATAAAGCATTACTGCAACAATATTCATTTTAAACAACCTGAATTCCATTTAAGTTTCTTTTTCACTTTAACAGGTTTTCTTAACATGAATACAAAAAGTGCTCAGGGTAACGCGGGTTTGAAAGATATGGTGGCAGCTCTGAAATGGGTACAAAAGGAGATCAGACATTTTGGTGGCAACCCCAACAAAGTCACTATATTTGGAGGGAATTCAGGAGCGCAGGATGTCAGCTGCTTATACCTCTCTCCATTATCTCAAGGTAACATGTCCTGTGTTAGACCAGTAGATTTAAACGTAGTAGGTTTTATAACTGTGATAAGTTTGTCAAAATTAAACTACCAAACAAACCCACTTTTCTAAAGACACAAAATACAGTTATGTGAAGAAAATGTTTATTGATGGTCAACAATTCTCTGTTTATCCTGTAAGTACCTCATATTCAATACACGGGACTATGTTACTTGTGTTGCAATAGCTTAACAATAACTGCATCAATAAAAAAAAAATTGAATTTGAAGAGTTTTTTAGGTGTTCGTAATATGATACAATAGATAAAGCACAGAATGTTGCTTGATTCTGGAACCCTAGTATGCTACTATGGCATTGGCAATTGACCTATTAGTTGAGATTATGATTAGCTTAGAACATGCAGACATCTGATGTTAACAAAACCATGGGGACTGTTTACATTAAAAATCTATAAAACAACATTTAGGACAAAATATACAAATTAAAAAGATTTCCAACCAAGGGTTAGCCAACCAGGTAGGCTGGTTTAGAGTGCTTAGTTTCTAAAGGGTTGCCAGTTGTGATAGCTATAAGATTAGCTATTATTAGTTATCCTATACTCATCTTACACTCATCCTTCACTCATATTTGGGTTAAAATATGCACATAGTGGCGTCCCCATCTTAAATAATTGATAATTGATAAGTAGTATTATTATCAGTATACTGCCCAGGCATTCTCGATGACGTGGAACATACATTTTTCCACTGCCAGTGCTGGGAAAGGCCCCGCCTGAAGGCTCAACAGTTAGTAGGACTGCTTTCGGTGGACGGAGGGTGAGGACAATTGGACCTGTGTGTCACATTACATCCAGGGTATTCTCCGCGCCAAGAAGCTCGACCTTGACCGGGATGCGGTGTAGGTCATAAAGAATCTAAATGCCAGAAACGGTGCGAGCCCTGAGGGCTTAGGTCACATGTTGGCCTGACTTGAAGTAATGTGACAAACAATTCCAGGTCCGTGTCCAACAGAGTAGAGGGGGTTTTTTAGTGAGTAGTCTGATAATTTCAGGAGTCTCACACTACAGGCTGCTGGCTACATGTGTGCGTAAAAGCATTTTCTCTCCTCTCCCTAAAAAAAAGTATTATTACCAATCCTTCTCCCTCGTCCACACAGACAATATATATTGTGTTCCACACAACAGAAAACAGAAAAAAACACACAGTGCCAGTTTGAGTAGAGAGATATTGCCTTAAAATAGTTTAAAATTAAATAATAAAAAAACACTAGAGAGAGAGAGGTCCTTGAACACCTTCCAATTATTTCCACCTTCAAATCGAGGTCTGTTTGTGTCTATTTCAATACAAACCTTTAGAGAACCCATGAAAATCATTTGAGGTGTATTTCATGTTACAGGACTTTTTCACCGAGCCATCTCTCAGAGTGGCCAGTACTGTGGTACCACCAGCAATAACATCAACACTGTACTCTCTAGCCGCACTCTGGCACGTCTGCTGGGTTGTGACTACAGGAAACCTGAGGCTGTTGTTGCCTGCCTGAGGGGCATCACTGCTCAGGTGCTGGCCGAGAGACAGATGGAAGTTGCCACTCAAGAGGTGAGACTAGTAAAGTACCATACGTTACACAATATCCCTAGTAGCACAAATATATATTAAATACATATGAATAAATATATTTAAAATCTATTTTATATATCTCAAGTTTGTATTAATGTCAATTTTATATAATATTTAAAATATATTAAATATATAAAAAATATGTTTTTGAATCTATTAAATATTAAAAAAATATATTCTAATAATATATTTTAGTGATTAACATTTAAAAAAAAATGTATTTAACATAACTTCCAAACATCTTATGGGGCCTAAACATAAAAACAGAAAATAATAAAGATTTAGTATGAAAAGCACAATTATCAGTTGAGTAAATTGATTAAATAGTTCATAAAAACTAATTTTGAAAAAAAAAAACAAGATAAAATTTTAATGGCCCGAACAGGTCTCGAACTTGGGTCCTTCGACTTATAAGCCTCATATCTTACCTCTGAGCTATCTGCAACTGTTGTAAGTTTTAGTTTTCAAATGCTCGAAGAGTAGCCGACAGTTGCAATGGTTGAAATACTTAAAAAATATTTTTGATACTACAGTATAATATGATTCTGTTTGGCATAAAGTAGTTGACTTGAATAGTGTTGTAGTGAATAGTGAGTAGTCCCACGAATACAAATACAGTAAACTACAAAAATTAATTTAAATGCAATATCATGTAAATAATATTATGTAATTTATGTCATAAGTAAATCATATAATTACTTTTAGAACATCATATACAACCGTAATTAAGTTTCTTAAAAGGTCGCCAGTCACTAGCACCCTTTTCTAGCCAATCATTCGAGATTTCTATGATCACATTCATTGTCACATATTGCAATAAAAAAATAAAACCCATCAACACTTTTTTAGTTTGACCCACATGTAGCTGTCGAACATGTATACTTTTTTTTTTTTTTAGGGAGAGGAGGGAAAATGCTTTTACGCACACAGGTAGCCAGCCTGTAGTGTGAGACTCCTGAAATTATCAGACTACTCACAAAAAAACCCCCTCTACTCTGTTGGACACAGACCTGGAATTGTTTGTCACATTACTTCAAGTCAGGCCAACATGTGACCTAAGCCCTCAGGGCTCGCACCGTTTCTGGCATTTTGATTCTTTATGACCTACACCGCATCCCGGTCGAGGTCGAACTTCTTGGCGCGGAGAATACCCTGGATGTAATGTGACACACAGGTCCAATAGTCCTCACCCTCCGTCATCATCGGTATGACCGTGTCCACCGACAGCAGTCCTACTAACTGTTGAGCCTCCAGGCGGGGCCTTTCCCAGCGCTGGCAGTGGAAAAATGTATGTTCCACGTCATCGAGAATGCCTGGGCAGTATATGCAATTGGGTGACACGGCTTTGCCCATCCTAAACAGGTACGACCGGAAAAAGCCGTGTCCCGTCAGAAATTGGGTGAGGTAGAAGTCCACCTCTCCGTACCGCCGATTAACCCACGGTTGGACTTGCTGTATCAGTCGCCTGGTCCAGCGTCCCCGTGTCTCCTGTTCCCAGCCCTCCTGCCACATATGGTAGGTGCGGGTGCGTTCCTCTATTCGTGCCTCGTCCTCCCCACGGCGCCGGTAAATTGCCTTTCTCTCTGCCGCCAAAAGTTTGACGGGGATGACTCCAGCAACCACCAGGACGGCGGGCTCGGACACTGTTCGGTAGGCAGATGCTACCCTCAGTGCTGCCTGACGTTGCACTCGGGCGAGCCGCATCCTGTATGCCTCCTTATTTAGTGCGTCTGCCCACACCTCCGCACCGTACAAGAGTACGGACTGGACCGAAGACATTAACAGCCTTCTACGACTGGACCGTGGTCTGCCATCCATGCGTTTATGGTACGCATAACTCGGTTAAGCTTTAGCTGAGCCAGCTCAACGCTGCGTGCAGCTATCAAAGCTGCAACGTCGTCTGCGTACCCAACCAAAACAGTTTCCTCAGGCATTTCAGACCTCAGAAGGTTGTCATAAGCGACGTTCCAGAGGTCTGGGCCGAGTATAGAACCTTGGGCAGCATCGTCCGCGGGCCTTCGGCAGTCTCATACGTGAGGAGGCGAAACCAGAGATAATCCTCTATGATGCGCATGAGGTATGCCGGCACGTGGAAGGTGTTCTCCAGAGCGTCCAGCATATCGCACCACCTCGCCGAATTAAATGCATTTCGCACATCGAGCGTTACAAACAGCACGACCCTGCGAGAGTAGTGGTTAAAATCCTCAGCTCTCATCACGGCTTGCTTCACCTCCTCAATCGCATCAATCGTTGATCGCCCCATCCTAAATCCATACTGACGAGGGGAGAGGTCCCCCGCAGCAACAACGGCTGAATTCAGCCGGGAACGGATCAATTTCTCGAGGACTTTGCCAGCCGTATCCAACATACACAGAGGTCTGTAAGAGGATGGCAGATCTGGGTCTCCCTTGCCCTTCCCAACAAGCACAAGCCTAGCTGTCTTCCAGCACAAGGGGAAAACCCCTTCGACCAGGCAGGCGTTGTACATGCTCAAAAGGATCAAGGGGTTGGTAGTCAAAACCTTCTTGAGGACTTCACCGGGTACCCCATCAGGACCAGGAGCCTTGTTGTTCTTCAGGGATATGACGGCCGCCACCAGCTCTTCAGGGCTGAAAAGTGGGACGTCGTCCACCCTTCCGAAATCCTGCAGTGGTCGCAACGCGTGAGCCGGGAAAAGGGACTCGACTATCCTCTCCATAGTGACCCTGTCCATAACGGAAGGTGGAGAGCGGGTTCCAAGTTTCTTGGTTACAAGTTTGTAACCCAGGCCCCACGGGTTGGAATCAACATCGTCCCTTAATTTATCCCAGCAACTGCGTTTACTCCGATTGATGGCTCGACGAAGATACCTCCTAGCCACCCTATAAGCATCCGACTTACGCCGTCTGTCTAGGGGTTCTCTAGCCCTGGTAGCAAGTCTTCTGGCTCTCAATGCTGCTCGTCGCAATTCCGCAATCTCGGCAGTCCACCAGTACACAGGACGCTTATTGCACCGGTATCTCCTGCGAGGCATAGATTCATCGCAGGCCGAGACAATCAGTTCCATCGTGGATGCAACTAACGCCTCTGCGTGAGGCACGCCAGTTGCGGGATGAATATCCGGCGTTCTTCGTAGGATGGCTCCATTGAATTTTGCCATGTCCAGTTTTTTAATGTTCCATCGAACGGGCACTTGACGAAACGCTGCCACTTGTCTCTGATGACCATCCAGGACGTCAAAAATTATGTACTGGTGGTCACTGCCCGTGTAATCCTCCAGGACTCTCCAGGATCTGATCCTTGGCAAAAGGGACTCAGATGCAAGGGTAATGTCTGGGATCGTCCCCCGCATCCCAGGGCGGCCGAAAGTTGGCGTGTTGCCCTCATTCAGGACAACGAGTCCGGCTCTGGCAGCAAAGTCCAGAATATACTTGCCCCGGGAGTTGGTGAGGGTCATTCCCCACTCGACAGCCCTAGCATTAAAGTCCCCACCCACGACGACGTGTCCGGTGGTATCGCGCACGCTCTCTTCTAGGCGGTCTATCTTCTCACGAAAGTCACGGATGGCCTCGTTGGGAGTAAGGTAGACACTGAAGTAAGTGACATCCCTGCACCGAACCCAAACGAAACCTCGGCCATTCACGTGACCCCGCACTTGTACTTTAGCTGCATTACGAGCCCAGAATGCAGCAGTACCAAGACTATCAGGGAACCATAAAGATGGGTCCCTATCTTGATACTGATACTGTTCGCTGATTAAGAGAGCGTCGACATCGTGTTCGAGGGCAAACTGACAAAGAAGTGCGTCAGCCGTCCTGGATCGCTCCGGATTCCACTGAAGGATTCTTATCTTCGTGGGAGAGATTTCGCTTGCTGCAGAGCAGTTTTAAATACACTACACTGCCCAGACCCAGCTATATGCTTTACGTGTTTGTCAGCGAGCCCATTTTCTTTGCAAAGGAAACAGGACTCGACTTTGCAGTCCTTACGGATGTGACCAACTTCTCCGCACCGAAGGCAGTTCTTGCTTCAGTCGGGTCCCTTGCAGTTTCGGGAGGAATGGCCGAAACAGAGGCATTTAAAACACCTCTTCACTTCCACTCTCCGTCTGAGCCTGCAGTTGACCCAGCCGACTCTCAGATGCTGGAGTGCCAGCACCCTAGTGGCAAGCGCGTCTGCCATTTCGAACATGTATACTGCCTCTTAACTATATGCGTGATTTTTTCTTTAGGTGCATGATAGAGTGACACCATTCAGAGTATAGTGTTCCAGAGTATATATTATTATTTACTTAATGTTAACACTTTCATAATAGCAATTATCATACAAAAAATGCATGTATAAATTGATAAACATGAAAAACAAAAAGAAGCAAATTATTTATTTGCCAATTATAATAGATTATATATATTCTACAAATATATTATTATTCTATTAATAACAATATCTGACGTGTTTCAAAATATATTTATAAATACTTTAAATATATAATATAGTTTCAAAAATATTTTATATAGGCCTACATATTTAAAATATTCTCAACACATATTTTGTTTTTATATTTAACTAGCTGTACCCTCGGGCTTTGCCCCGTTTAACTTCTTATGTGAGCTCGTTCGCATGGCTCAATCACGTCCTGGTTGAAGTTTGTTCGCTACGCTCACTCACCTTTAGGTTGGAGCTCGTTCGCTGTGCTCACACGTCCTGGTTGAAGTTCGTTCGCTACGCTCACTCACCTTTAGGTTGGAGCTCGTTCGCTGCGCTCACTTGCCTTCAGGTTAGCTCGTTCGCTACACTAACTCGCCTTCGGGTTGAAGTTCGTTCGCTATGCTCACTCACCTTTTGGTTGCAAATTAGCTGTTGTCATAAATTAAAAAAAATAATAGTGCTGCACTCTGTTGGTAATCCTTGTAACTTTAATGCTCTTGAACATCACAGAACAGAACCAACTTGTTTAATTGAAACAGCTGTTATGATTAATTAATTCCATTTAAATATGAGTACTCATTAGGTTAACATGGGAAACTCCAGAGCCACTGGGGCGGAGCCCGAGAGTCCGATCAGAATAAAAACCACTCAGTTTTCCTATTTAATGCCTAAAGAATCAGTGTACCAAATTTCAGCCCCCTAGGTAAGTGGGAAGTGGGAGAATTAGTGATGAGTGAGTGAGTCAGTCAGTCAGTCAGTCAGTCAGTGAGGGCTTTGCCTTTTATATATATAGATAGGAAAAATATACATATAAAATATGTATATTATAGATTCTATACTTATTTTATTAATTTATTTTATTATGAATCTATTTTATATATTCAAAACTTATATTTAATTGATATTTTGCATTGCTTTTTGGTAATATTTTAAATATATATTTGAATATACCCAACTATTATTAACGATATATTATTTATATATTTTATTCGAGGTTCTATCAAATACAACTTTGGAATATATAAAATATTTATAAAAAACATATTTGTGCTACTAGGGTAATAGAGAACGATTAACTGTCTAACATGACATGAGGGAGAACATGAGGGAGCAGGACCCGACGGAATCCCTCCAAATGTACTAAAATATTGTCACTCTATTCTCGCTCCTCAGTTCACGGTTCTCTTTAACAAACTTTTAGAAAAAAGAATTTTCCCTGACGTTCTTAAGACTAGCTATGTCATACCTGTTTATAAATCTGACAGCAAGTCCAATGTTCAGAACTACAGGCCAATTGTGATTCAACCAACTTTGAGTAAAGTGTTTGAGAGTCTTGTTCTTGATCAGCTCGCATTTCCCTTCAAAAATGTATTCACAAAGGAACAGCATGGCTTTCTCGCCGGAAAATCCACGGTCACCAATCTTGTGTTATACGAAAACTTTATCACGAAGTCTTTTGCCCAAAAATATCAGGTTTACAGCATTTATATTGACTTCAAAAAAGCCTTCGACAGTGTTAATCACGAGCTCCTATTGCATAAACTCAACAATTGTGGTATACATGGCAATCTTCTCAACTGGTTTCATCATCTCCGATCGTACTCTCGTAGTGAAATTCAGAGGATCACTCTCTAGACCCTTTTTAGCAAGTTCAGGTGTACCGCAAGGATCCCATCTGGGACCTTTTTTATTCAACATCTTTATCAATGACCTTGTTAAATTAATAGATGTTGAATGCCTACTATTTGCTGACGACATTAAGGTCTATTCTGTGATACGAGATGAACACGATTGTGAAAACCTTCAACGCAGTTTACACAATATTGAGATGTGGTGCAAACATAATGCAATGACTATGAATGAAAGAAAATGTGCTACTATTACTTTCTCAAGGGGCATAAAACCAATCCTCTGGAATTACATGCTACACGACACTATACTAGAGAGAAAAGTAACAATAAAGGATCTTGGAGTGATTTTGACATCCAACCTCAGTCCAGATCTGCACATAGAGTCAGTTTGCACTAGATCATCAAAGCTTTTGGGTTTCATCATCCGTGCGTCCAGAGATGGTATCAACACCGAAGCTCTAAGGATTTTGTACACCTCACTTGTACTACCTGTGTTGGAATATGCTAGCGTAGTATGGTCCCCATATCAAACTGGACACAAAGATAGACTCGAAAAAATTCAAAGAAGGTTCATTAAAATAATTGGTGTTAAATTGGGATTCAACTATTCTACCGTCCCTATCGATGATGTAGCAAACTACCTGAAGCTGACACCTCTAGAAGAAAGAAGAAAGATGATCGATGCCCTCTTTCTGAAAAGACTTCTCACCAATATGATCGACTGTCCTGAGTTACTTGATCTTATCACGTTTCGAATCCCCACGGCTACTCGGACCCAGGAGTTGTTCCACCGACATCAGTGTTCAACCAGCTACGGATTTCACAGTCCTGTTCCAAGACTTCAGGGGAATACTCTAACTCAGCATCACGATTATGACTTCTTTAATGACAGTGATTCTGCACTGAAGAGGATCTTCTCCAATTGAAGATAGCTCCCTTTTCCCCATCTTGTTTCTGCGCTGTGTTGTGTGTGAGGGGGGTGAAAGCAGAGTATTGGGGTTAGTGTCGTGCTCTTTAACCACTTGTTTTCCTCCATCACCGCATTTTCTCCTAGTTTCATTATATAAGTCATCTTTTATTCTAGTCCAATCATTGTCAAACGATCACCTTTTTTTGCCTTCTTGTTATTGTTAAGTTTTCTTTAATAATTTATATTTGCACTGTTAAATTTTCAATTCATTTTTGATAACCTTTCATCTCGGTTCATGTTCCTCCCAATGTTGTTACATTCACCATTAGCACTTAAGTCACAATCAATCATTGTCACACTCTCATTGTTCATACTTGTTATTGTTAAGTTTTTATATTTTATTGCATTGTCAAATATTCAATTTTTTTTATATTTTCCTTTTCGATCCTGTATTTAGTGAAGCAGGCTGTTAATGTTAGTTCAATTTTAAGACCATTGCATGTTTTTTTCTCTCTCTCTCTCTCTTGTTTGCCGATGTTGTATGTTCATAGAATATATATTTGTTTTTCATTTTTCATTACTCAGTTGCGAATCATTAGTGTTAGTGGTGTTAGCATGTACTCATAAAGCACAACCAAATAGCAAGATGTAAAACTTATAGCATGTTAATTATAACTAGTGTACATGTTGCTCGAATTCGAGCAATTGCAAAGTATTACAGGAATTATTTCAAAACGAATAACAGTCATATTTACAATGTGTTTAAAAGACTCAACTCAATAAGATTACCGGTGTGTACTGTAACTCAGACCATGTTTATCTTCGTTATTGACAAACCTAAAGCATTCCGGCCGGTTTTCTCCTTCTTAAAATCCCTCGCTGTACAGGCAACACAGGTCATGATAGAGAACTAATTGAGAACGAAAAGTCGTTTTAGGGTAGTGTTAAAGGGCGCATTTTTGTAACCTAATAGTTGAGTTTGTCCAGGGTCAGGTGCTGACTGTGATGAGTTAAGCCTATTACGCACCACACTGTTCTGTTTCTGTAGCTGCGGTCGTTATCACGATTACGCCTCCTGTTTATGTTTCGTTGTCGTCGCGTCGGAGGCATAAAAAAACAACAAATAAACAAATTATAGCTACACAAAACAACGATGAATGCACAAATTTAAATTACAATCATGCTAACACGATCCGTCATAGCGACACAAAACAACGATAAATACACAAATTTAAGATACAACCATACTAACACGATCCGTCTTGGGGGTTATGTTTACACAAACTCAAATAGTAAATAAATGTACTCAACACATTTCATTGAATTCAATAATAAATAACAGCAATTAAATTATACAGCTGATCAAAATGTAAACAATTATGTTCTTCATAAGGATAACATGGGAACTTTCAAAGCCACTGGGGCAGAGCCCAAGGGATTTTTTCAAAAATGTAAGGCCAGTTTGCAAATCTACGCGACACGCTCTTTCCAATGAGACGTCAATGGATAAAATCGGTTAAGAAATGGCAGAGGAGTTCAACCGACAAAGTTTCATGTAGCGTATTAATTATATAGATTAGTATTATTTATTGATCCACAAATTGTTATGCATGTAATTGATTGTACAAATGGCGATTTTGCCGTTAATAAATAAAAAAAAAATAAATGACTAGGTTTTAACTGCTTCATGATTAGTTTTGAAAAAGAGTTCCATCAGTTAGTGTACTCAAAAACAATATCTATTATCTCTTTTATCATCTCAAGTCTAAACTAATTTTCATCAAAGCCTTTTTTTAAGTTTACCATAGATTCTATTACCTATAATAACTTTTATAATTTTTGCAATGTATGTCTTCAATGGTTCCAGCCAGGAGATCTAGAGAACCCATTCCTGCAGAGTGTAGAGGAAGACCATGGTGAGGAGGTGATGATCCCAGTTGACCCCTCAGAGTTACTACAGTCATCAACCTCCAAAGTCCCGTACCTCATGGGTCTCAATACTGGGGAGGGTATCATGGAAATAAAGGATCTTCAAGGTTAGACCACCGTAAAAATCATTGTCCTATTTAGCCTTTGTTATGACACTTTTTTTATTTATTTACTCATTATAATCACATTACATTCATATTTTGACAGGTCCCGGATTCCTCAGTCTTAAAAATAAAATCTATTGTAAATAAACGGTATCAGCAATCTGACACATACTTTCTCCCATTAGCTTGTCAACATCCTTTACTATGGGTAAGCGATGAGAGTAACCAACTATGATATTAATTGGCAAAAATCACAAAATCTTAATTTACTTTTGAACTATAATTTTTACAGGAATGGGGGTCGCACTAGTTTGCTTAGAATTATAAGGACGATAAAAACAGATTTCAATCAGAATCTGTTTTTTAAAATTCATTTTTCCGTTTTTCATGGGTTTTATGGGAAAATAACAAAGTTACAATAACTTTTGAACTCTAATTTTTACAGCAATGGGGGTTGCACTATGTTGTTAAGAATTATAAGTATCACATACAAATTTCAATCAAAACCTGCTTTTTAAAAAATACGGTTTTCTCTTTATTTAATGTTTTTTTTATGGGGAAATAACATAATTTACAATAACTTTTAAATAGTAGTTTTTACAGAAATAAAAATTTGACCATTTTGTTCAGAAGTTAAAGGCCTACAACAATACTAAATTTGTACGATCGGGCCGTTTTTGAGAAAAGTTGTTGGAAAAATGAAAAAAAAAACGCCTGGATTAGTACCAAATTTAATCAAAATCGGACCACAGGTGTAGTCTGTAGGTCAGTACATATCCACACACACACACACACACACACACACACACACACACACACACACACACACACACACACACACACACACAAAGACATCACTTTGGAAACCACTTTTTTGGGTTCAGGGGGACCCAAAACGGATATATCCACTCAAAAGTCAAACTCGAAAATTTTTACAAAAACAATACTTTCTCCATATATACTATGTATAGGAGGAGAAAGTAAAAACATACAAAAAAATTCCACTGCTTGTTATTTAATTCTACTAGTTCAATTTCCAGGAAATCTCCAACTGAATTAAAAGCCTTCCAGAGTAGAGCCATATCTTTAGAGTGTTTCAAATCTGTAAATACAATATTGATCTCTGTTAGTGCTGAAAGCAATATAGGTATCATAAATGTTGGGTCCTACCAATATACTGTGGAGTTAGATGAAATACTAATTGACACTAAATACAAGAACGAATGTGTGTTTCATTTGATGAGGGAAGAATTTAAAGTCTTGATACTTTCTTCAACTAATCTACAAACCATCCATTAACGCTAGGTTCAAAGTGAAAAGAGGAGGATACTTAAATTACTAGACCAACCGCTATATTCTAAGGGCAAAAATAATTATTAATAATGCTGTTCACACAAGTATTTTTTCCAGAATACCCAAATCAGTTCAGTGATTTTGAGCGAGACTTTGAGAAGTATCTTCCATACAACATAAAGGAAAAAAGTTCTAAAAAAGCACTACAGTATATTATAAAGAAATTGAAGAAATTTTACTTCCATAACAAAAATGTAACCGTTGACACCATTGATGGGTTTATTGATGTAAGTATTTATGGAACAGAAGAGGAACTGCATGGTAATATTAATAGTTTAAATGTTATGGCTGTTTTTGGAGTTTTACAAAATATGCCAGTCATTTCAGATTTAAAATGACTCAAAAGACATGTACCATATTTTGGTGTGGGTGCTGCAAAAAGTATCAGCAAATATAAAACCTCGTACAATAGTAAAAGAATGTTAGCAATGTACAGTTCTTTACTCATTTATAAACCAGAATAGTTGTATTTGTATATCAGTAGGCCTACAATAGGAGATGTATCAGATAACAGATAGTAGATTTTAGACTTTTATTGAGAGTTTTTAGATGATCATTTTACTTAATTGTTCTGTGGATTTAAGCAAAATTTAATTTCAAAATGTTTTGAACTAATGTGTAGCGGTATAGTTTATGTATAAAAATGCCATGGAAGATATTTATATAATTTTTGTATAAATTTTTTTTATTAAAAAAAATGTAGGGATACTTTTATTAATGAAGTATATAGGCCTATTATTTGGATTGAAATATTAATATTAACTGATTACAGGGTTTTTGATAGTATTATTGGCTCCTAACTTTCTCTTTCACAAGAAAACTACAATTCTTACCCTAGTAGCACAAATATATATTAAATACATATGAATAAATATATTTAAAATCTATTTAATATATCTCAAGTGTGTATTAATGTCAATTTTATATAATATTTAAAATATATTATATATATATAAAATATGTTTTTGAATATATTAAATATTTAAAAAATAGGTTCCAATAATATATTTTAGTGAATAATATTTAAATAAAAAATGTATTTAATATATCTTCCAAACATACCATGAGGCCTAAACATAAAAAAATGAAGATTTAGTATGAAAAACACAATTATCAGTTGAGTAAATTGATTAAATAGTTCATAAAAACTAATTTTGAAAAAATTACTGGATAAAATTTTTTAGCCCGGGTGGGTCTCGAACCTGGGTCCTCCTACTTATGAGCCTCTTACCTTACCTCTGAGCTACTTGTGACTGTTGCTAGCATCTGTTTTCAAATGGTGAAAGGGTGACCGTCAGTTGCAATGGTTGCAATACTTGAAAATTTTTTGATACTACAGTATATGATTCTGTTAATTTGTTTTTCCGTAATTCGTTTCTTAAACGGTCGCCAGTCGCTAGCACCCTTTTCTAGCCAATAATTAGAGATTTCTATGATCACATATTGCAATTCAAAAAATAAAACCCATAAACACTTTTTTTTCGTTTGACCCAAATGTAGTTGCCGAACATGTATACTGCCTCTTAACCATATGCATAATTTTTTTCTTTACGTGCATGATAGAGTGACACCATTCAGAGTACGTATTGTTAATAACTTAATTTTAACGCTTTCACAATAGCAATTATCATACAAAAAATGCATGTATAAATTGATAGACACTATAAAAAACAAAAAGATGCAAATTATTTATTTACTAATTATAAAAGATTAGAGGCTATAGCCTATATTCTACAAATATATTATTATTTTATTAATAAAAATAAATGACGTTTTTCAAAATATATTTATAAATACTTTAAATATATAATATAGTTTCAAAAATATTTTATATATATATTTAAAATATTCTCAACAGATATTTTTTTTTAATATTTAATAGGAAAAAAATACATATAAAATATGTATATTATAGATTCTATACTTATTTGATCGATATATATTATGAATCTATTTTATATATTCAAAACTTATATTTAATTTATATTTTGCATTGCTTTTTGGTAATATTTTAAATATATATTTGAATATATCATACTGTTATTAAAGATATATTATATATATATTTTATTCGAGGTTCTATCAAATACAACTTTAAATATATAAAATATTTATAAAATACATATTTGTGCTACAAGGGTAGGAACAATTTTATGACAAACATATTTATTTCAACTTAAACAACTCCTGGCTTAACATTGAAATATCCTTATAACTTGTTCCAGTTCATGACAGACAAAATGTTCATGTACAGCATCGTGACACACGCAAAATATCTGAGTAACCACACAAACGTCTTTTTGTATCTGTTTGCATACAACGGAGCGTTTGAGGAGCCTCTCAAAATTACCAAAGACTTAAATTTAACAGGTAAAAGAACTAACTGAACTTAAACATTTTTAAACTAAGATAATCCAGTGTATTTAATTCATATATATATTCCTTTAAGTTGGTATTTTAGCTATGAAAATATCTTGTTCAATTGCAAATAGTTTGAAACAATCAAAGACAGTTTTAGGGATTTTTTAATATTTTGAATTATGTTCAATGGAAAAATGTGTAATTAATATCAAAGGAACAGAAGATGCTACAAAAGTTGTTGAATAACAACATATTCAACAATTAGTTAGATCTTTGACTACACCACTGTGGGTAGACATTGTATTCCCATCATGTAAAAGTTGTAGCCAATTCCATAATAAGAAGTTAGTTCAATTTTGACATTGTCAGATTTGGCTGTTGCATAATGAATTTATTCTTACTGTCTCCTTTTATTTTATAACCAAGTGTTTTTCTTTCATTCTTTCCTAACCACCAATGAAGTATCTGATTGTGCATGACTATGACGAGTGACTGGTCGAAATCCATAGTCAGTGCATGATCTTTTATCACATTGTTTATCAAATATTGTCTGCAGACTTTTTTATCAAAGTACAACAACAAATACAAGTTCATAATTCTGTTTAAGAAGTTATTTTAAGACCAATTCTTTGGTGAAGGTAAACTGAAAGGGTGACTTTTACAGTATTTTGGTATGTATCTGATCTACATGCCATAGGATGAAAATCTACAAAAGCTAATACTGTACAGGTTGAATTATAGTGGTACACTATCAAAAGCACCATTCAACTATATGTTTTCATAGATGGGAACACAGATAGATGGGTCTACAGTGCTTTGGTATCCAACGTCAATGGTTATAATTATACTTAGATTGATATTCTAAACAGGCTTTTCTCAAAATGTAAGCTTTGAATAGCATTTTAGCTTAACAAAATTAATCAACCCAAAAACTACTTTGATTTTATTAAAAAAGGGACATACACAAGCTACTTGAATTGGCGTTGGTGATGATAGTGAGTATCACAACTTACGTTACCATGGTCCTATATTGCTGTTCAAACAAAGGGTGCATAATGGGTGAATTCTAATATATAATTCCATAATAGAAATAGTTGAATACTGTTACATACCATCCAGTTCTTAACTAATGCAAAAGGCCTACAAGTGAGAAATTAAATAAGTTTGTAAAATCCAAATCAGTATACTAAGTTACTTTTAACAAATTCATTGAAATACACAGTAGGGATTAAATATGTTTCTTAGGTATTTGTTTCTGCTTAACAGTATTACCTGTACAGGAGTGGTGCATGGCAGAGAGCTAGGCTACATGTTCTACCGGCCCACAGTGATAGAAACTCAATCTCACATGTCTGACTACCCACAGGAGTGTGAGATGGTAACCAAGATGGTCACCTTATGGACAAACTTTGCCAGATATGGGTATGCCTCATCAGGGACTTTGACTGCTGAAATTATTTTTAAGGTCAACATGCACGACATTAATCAAGAATCCATAAAAATTCTTTAATCATGCACAATATGGATAAAGCTTTTACTATATTTCACATACTTCATACATGTACATTGGTTTATTCAAATACTTTATACTCATTAATTATACACTTCAAATCATACATTCATTTATAATGTGATTAAATTAACATTTAAGGGAAACTGTTAAAGATTATTCAAATATGAATTGGTAATTTTACTCAAAATCAAAGTGTTTTGTTCTTATATTACCGTACTTAAGTCTAAAGACAAATAAAGATGTAACAGCATTGACTATAGTTTTAACCTAGTTCATAAAACTTCAGTTTTGCACACTGAATGGGGAAAAAAGGTATTAAACCTTTTTAATACCAACACTTGATATATCAGACCAAACTTCTACCGACTACCTACACAAATTTAGGGTGACTAAAAAATGCAGCTGAAAGCTATAGGTTAACTGGCATGTACTTGCAACTCGGGGGGTTAGGGCTTTGGGTTGACCAGTGGTGCTAGGGAGATGGACAGTTGAGTCTGAGTGGTCTCAGTCTAAGCTCTAAGGCATTGTCTCTTCAGCCACTATATAGACAACACCATATTGAGGGTTTGAATCCAGTCTCAAACAGGTCTGATGTAGAAGGCTTGGGTAAACTCTTTGTGAGCTGCATCTTAAATCAGGCATATATACTAACTTTTGATTGTTCCTGTTGTGTGAATGTCCTGTTTTAAAATGTTTTTATATTATTTGGATTTTTATTTGTCAAGAAAGTTGTACATACTATCCGCACTGTAAACTACAGGAGTCCAACACCAGTGGATGACCCTGTGCTTGGAGCTACTTGGCTCCCAGTCAATGGCTCTCTCACCCAGCACCTGGTCATCAACAGTTCCCTGACCATGGACCAGACCCCGCTGTACTCGGCCCGTGTGGCTATGTGGGACGAGGTGTACTTGATAGCAGAGCAGGACATTGCCGAGGCCTCGTGGTCCATCGCCATCATGATAGTGACGGCTGTCTGTGTATTGTCAGTCTCCAGCCTCACATTTCTGTTGTACGACTGTTGTTGTCGCAAACGAGACCAGTACCAGGTCTTGGAGTAAATTGTATTTTTTCAGTATTGTTATTGTGATACGAAGTTTATAATGTGTTTGATGAATAAAGTTTTTCTTATTTTAAATAGAGATTAATAGAATTCTTAATAGACTACTCCCTTTAGAATAGATGAAAATGTTCTTCTAGGGACTTTAGCCATTAGCCGAATATAGCTCTTTTTTTTAAAGGGAAATATTGATTTTGCTTGGCTAGCTGATCCCCTTACAGTTATCCAATAGTTCATTTTGGAAGAAAGGTATGCATGGAAAATCAGGAGTTGAGTCTTAATATTAGTAGTGTCTCAAATTACTCTGAGTACAAAGGTTGCTGATTGTAGACGTTTAGATAAGATTTGAATTTGTAGTTTCCAATATTTAGATTTGGATCCATTTTTACACCAAGATATTCAACAGAATTTTGAGAAGTTAAAGAGTCAGTATTAGAGTTTATAGTAAGATGTTTATTTAATTTGGAAGCTGAAAATTCTGTTAATTTAGTTTTCGACACATTCATGATCAGACCATTTACAGTCCAGACCAGGCTTTTTAGCTCTTTGGAAACAGAAGAATCTAAATTTTCCTTGTTTCCTTTAAAAATTAAAGCCGTATCATCTGTATATTGAAAGATAGGTAAGTTTGTGGAGTAGCAAAGGTCATTGGGTCATTCACTTATATAATAAAAAGACAAGTGCCAAGAATGGATCCCTGATGCACTCCGTATGAAGCACTTATCCAGTCTAATCTGTAGTTATGATTACATTTTTGTGAGATAGTTCTTTGTTTTCGGTTAGCTAAATATGAGAAACACCATTAAAGCTCATTGTTTTTTAAGCCTAGCCATTTCAATTTTTTAATTATTTCAATTCAATTCAATTCAGTTCATCAGCCAGTTTAATCTCTTAGATTGTCTCCAAAAGGTGATCTTCTTGATAAAGTTTAAATTACTTTTAGGAGTTGTGACTCACCCTATAGGATGGCTGCTTAGAAAAAGACTTGCAAGCTAATGCTATTAGCATTAGCCCGCAGGTCTTTTTCTAGGCGGCCGACCTAAAGATATTAATGATATTATAAATGCAGCACAGGTATGTAAAATAACTTGCTTAACATTTTTAAAAGAAAATAAACATATGTTAGTAATACTTCTAATTGAACTTTAATAGAGAGCAAATTAGCTGGTTTTCACTAATGTCTGCAACCTTTTTCTCATCCATCCTTTATCTGTTGTGGTAAAAAATGTATTCCCTAAAGGTGTTAATCAAAGGTTGTTGGGTTGGAAATATGCACTTTTGTTCATGAGCATAGCACTTCTGCTTATACTACACTACAGATATTTATTATTGAACACCGTCTTTTAATCGTTTATAAAAAACCCAAAAAAAGTCTAAGAAGTTTTTTGAAGTTCAATTATAACCCTAGATTTTCAGGAGTTAAAATCTAATAAAGACACCAATTCATTACTCCCTTTTTTAAGCTAATTTTATCCATACAAAAAATAAAACTCATATAATACTTAACAATCTTCATGTTTGGTTTGTATTATCTGCTGGAAGGTGATTTTCTAGTTGTACCTCTAGTTCAGTTTTAAACTGTTGGTTGTTAAGTATGGGCTCATCTTGATAGGGTCCAGGTCCATATTTCATCTGCAAACGGAATGGTAATTTGGTATTACTTTCAATCATATTATAACATACATTAATTAAAGAAAGATATGATTATTTTTGTCTATTGTCTATTGTCTATTTTTATAAATCATCTTTTGTCACAATTACTCACAGTTGTGACAAAAACAACATAGCTTTGTTCTGATAAATAAATACATTAAATTTACAGTAATGTATATCACATACATTTCCCTTGAATATGTTTAATGTACAAGAATTACATGGTTGTTATTACATTATTATTATTATTATCATAATCATTATCAATTCAGATGGGGACGCCACCTGTGTGCATATTTTAACCCGTATATGAGCGAAAGATGAGTGTAGAATGGAGTAGGATGATACATATCACCATTTTTTTTTAATCCACCGACAGATTGGTTTATCCTATGCAACTATTGAAGTATAACTAAATAAATCCTTGATTGTGGACACTCATGGTCTTCTCTTCCTATTTAAAATATGAAAACTAGTTTTGGTGTGTTTCATGTCTCGTCCACTTCTCCTATGTCAGTCAACTGAATGTTTTACTACTAGTTTAATGTTTAATGCAACATTTTTAAGTCTGTAGGCAAAGGCATACATGATTTAGTTGCCAGAAAACAAAGAATATTTTATAAAACTATAACGGTAGTTTTATTTGTTTAAAATTTTTTTGAAAAACAAAGAAACAAATTATATATATACTCTACACATGTCAGACGAAAACGAAACTACAACTTATTTTACTTTGTCCTCAGTTGATCTATAATGCTGGCAAATCTATAAGGAGATGTCTTTGATCAACCTTACCTCATATTTGACTTGTTCCAAATAATGTTGTCTGTTCGGTCCAAGGCGGATGAGAAGAGTAGTGGAGAAATGAACTGGCTGAAGACAAGGCCTCAGTATGTCGCCACTACTACAAAACAAATATAAATTACTGTTCACAGATTCGATTTACAGACTTACCCGAATGGGAAAGAGTGCAATCTTTCACAGGAAACACAAAACATTAACCACCCTAGAATAACTAATGTTTTGTGCTTGCCTATTCAGGTAAATCTGGTGGCTTCACAAAAATCCTAAAAAACCTATGTTCTTGTGCTCTAGAACTCTCTACCTGGTATGATCAGGTGGAGGAGGAGGTGAGGCCAGCCCAGCTAAGTGACTCTCAGAACGAGACTTCTGCTTCAGTCTGGTGTTCGATCTGAAATCATTACAATTATTGCAAAGTCAGAACACAACCTAGGGATAAATATAATCTGGATCAGATAATTACATAACATTCAATTCAACATAGAATATTTTGTATAAAACAAATCTTCCACTCTTTATTTTACAGCTACTCTCAGAGAACTCTTTAGTGATAAAAAGGATCGATGACATCTTGGTTATTTTTCTTGTGTAAAAGAAAACCAATATCACAAACTATTGGGTGGTTATTTTTTATAGCAATACAAATTACAAGTACCAAGAGACTAAGGATAAAACAACCTCATTATTTAGTAGCCCTGTATTCTTTACTTTATTGCTGATCAGCTGATATGCATTGTTACACATTGTTGCCTACACAAGGAATTAATTTTTAGATAAGACCCAGCATGAGATCAAAGAGTATCTATTGTAGTCCTACATATTTTATCTAGAAACAGTTTTTAAGATTTATGAAGTTTTTTATGAAAACAGATATCACCCAAAATCATCTGCGGGAAGGTAAAACAACAGATTTTTTCTATGTTATCACATCACTTATATTTTTACATGAGAACAAATAAATCACCTTGTCATTGGAGAAGGAGAAGGTGTGTTTCGACCACTTCCTACGGATTTAGAGCTGCTACCAGTACTAGATCTGCTTCTCCGACGAGCCAGAACTATCAAACAGTAAAAGGCTAAGAAAAGGAGTACCCTTCCATAATCATAGGTAAAAAAAACTCTTGACCAGCAAAACCATTAATTGTGACTCCACAATCCACATGCCACTGATGAAAAATCCATACTATATAGTCTGTCCGTTTGGCTATAATACCCAGCGGATTAGAGACCTTCTCGGAACTCAACTCACCCTTCAGACCCGCTCGCCAGGCTGGTCATTAATAAAAAGTTTACCTACCTACTCCCACAGTCCCACAGATATGTAACTTTTTTTATTTTAAGTTAAAATAATTTTTTTCTTTGTATATTTGACTTCTCCATGAAATTCCCAAAATAATGAGTCCAAACACGATGTGGATACTTAATATCTACGATCTGAAAGTCGGACAAAATTGGTGACGATACAGAGTAATTGTACTATACTTTCAGATCGTAGATATTAAGTATCCACATCGTGTTTGGGCACATTATTTTTAGAATTTCATGTAGAACTCAAATTCGTAAAGAACAATTTATTGGAATTAAAAACAAAAAAAGTTACAGGTCACAGGACTGTGCTAGTGGGTGAGTCATTGTTTGTCTCAGGCCAGCCCGACGAGAGGGTCGAGAGGGTCGAGAGGGTGAGTTGAGTTCCGAGAAGGTTCCTAATCCGCTGGGTATCATAGCTTAACATTTTACAATGCAAAAGGGTTTGTCATTTTAGTATATAATAGACTATTGACTATTACAATGTAATTAAATATATCACAGAAAAGAACAACAAAGATAATCCAACTAAATAAATTAAAACAAGCTGGCCTAGTTTAAATCTGCTAATGGCAGGTGCGTAATGAAATACTAGGTAAAATTATAGGTAAAATACAATTTAAAATAGAACGGGTACAAGAAATAAGACTAACAAGGCCAGATGATAAATAATAAAAATGTGAAACAAGCTAACAAAAGATAAATAAATCTATATATCAAAATGGCTCAAATTCAGAAACAAGTAATGTCATGCCATTGCATTGAATTTTAATCCAAATTTAAGATTTAAGATGTATTGTGTTTATTTCAACTTACAATTTTAAAATGTGAGTATGTATTAAAGACAGTAACAAAATAGGAGTCTACTTAATTTTCTTGTATCAGAATCTGGGTGGCATTATTTTGTGATCAAAATTTGAATATCAATACCTACCTGTTTTAAAAAGCATATATGCATTCCGACCTAGAATAATAAATTATAGGTAATCTTCTTGTATCGATATATGAAGATGAGGTTGTATGCATAACAATACAGTACCTGGGGCACTTTGTGAGTGTTGCGGTATAAAACGTCGAGCACAGCCACATGATCTCAGGCCTAGTGGCACGACTGGAGCAGACGTGTTAGCGACACTGCGCAGAGATATCTTAGAGCTCATCTTGTGTTTGTAAAACTATGGACAAGCAGAGGTAGATAACTCTACACTAAAGCACCAAAGGGGATTTGGCAACCTGAATAAAAATGTTATACAGAAAATTAATTTACCATTTTACTGACAAAAATAGTAAACTGCAATATTTTCTTTCATTCCATTGAAAATTTCATTAAAAAATAATATAGCCTAGTAAACATATCTTTTGATACCTATATTATATTCAACCCAATAAAAGTCAAAACCCAGGAATCGTCAAGTACTGGTACTTCAAATTAAGGTATGTGATTTTAAGAAGTAGATGGAAGATCAATAGAGCATTATTGACATTGACTTTTGTATATTGAAGTAGATAAGGTAAACGCACCAGTAGCTGACAGTATAAGAAACTATACGCACTTAATAATCCGTGGTTTTGAATAAATAGGAACTAAAGAGATATTACGGATTTTATTTGATTCTAAATTTAGTGTAGTTTTCAAATTTGTCATACAAAAAGGGTTTTAAAAATATATTTTATAACATTTTTTAACTTAATTCAACCTTTGTACGTGTTCCAGTGGCTGACAGTGAAAAAAGTGCTTGTACCAGTAGCTGACTGTCAGTTGTCCCAGTAGCTGACACTGGAACTATAAATGTACTAGCTGCTAAACCTAAGGGTTTTATAATTTATAAGACGAATAAAATCTAACTTGATAATTAAGTTATAAATAAAACCATGTAAAACATTATTAAGAAAATTTATTTTACATATTTTAAAATAAAAAATATTTACATTAAAAAAATATATATATATTTTATATATACCTATTTAAGAAAAATATAAATTTTTTAAATATATTTGGCTTATTAATAAAAAAATTAAAATTATTTTATAAAAATGTGAGATGTCATAAATTATAATGATTCAAAGATGAAATGGTCGGAACATGTTGAATATCTAAAAAATAAATTACGTAAATATATTTATGCATTTAGGCAACTTAGTGATATACTCGACTAGCAAGAAATTAAAATAGCATACTATGCATATGTTCAATCATTGTTATCTTTTGGAATTATTGCTTTTGGTGGTGCTTACAAAACTATCTTGCAACCTGTTTTTGTTGTACAGAAAACAATACTTAAAGTTGCTTTTAAAAAACACTTTAGATATTCAACTGACGACCTTTTGTAGAAACGGGAGTTTTGACAGTCAGACAGTTATTTTTAAAATTTATTTTAGTTCACATGTACAAAAACTTTGATAATATTTTTATAAAAATTACTCATCCCCACAATACGCGCTTTTCTCAAAATGTTGGTATAAATGTTCCACAAACTTTAAAATCATTTTCACATACGAATTGCTTTCACTTAACCCAAATCATTTATCATTTATCGTAACATGTGTAACAGATATCAAAATGTCAACATTTTAAATTCACCCTCTCTCTCACTATTTAAGAAGCATGTAGTAGCGTGGCTTGTAGGATTGAGTGCAGAGGACACCGAGGCCGTTATCACGCTGGGCGGACCTGACCGTTGACACTACACAATCACTGATACACCACCTTCACTGACTGACCAACACACCACACTCCACCTCTCCTCTTCAATCTTCACCAGATTTTTATAAATTTCCTCAGTTTTGTACAAAGAGTTTTTTATCGTCAATTTAATTCACAGAAGAACACTAAACATTCAGTTTCAAGCAAGAACATTTTTTTAAATTTAGAATTATACGAATTATTTTTTGTTTTCCTATACATTTTTTTACCTCCCATCTAAATTAACCTTTTTCGCAACTCGAGTCTACGCACAGGCCCTGCCTATGTAGACTTTTTCCTTTGTTATAGAAGGTTTTTTTTTTTGCACATTTTTTGTTTTATTTCTACAGAATATAATTTTTCTTTTGTTATCTAGTTAGTAATGTTTGCTGTATTATATTTAAGTAAAAAAAAAAAAAAAAAAACAATGTATGTATATAATTTATGGGAAATAAAATATTATTTAATTTCATTTCATTTCATAAATAGCATGCAAATTTCAATGGGTAAAACCAATTTCATATTGTGCAAGTAGCAAAATATCCCCTGTCAGCTAGTGGAACTTGTATGGCTTCTGTGTACCAAAGCCTGACATTGATATAATTTTAAATCCAAAACCCCTAACACCCCAATTTTATCATGAAATTGTCAACAAAGGTATAATTGATAAAAATAATGAGCCTAACCATTAATACTATGTAAGAAATTTAGCGAAATTACAAAAAACCAAACTTACCTTCTTAACAGTTTCATTAAGGGAATCGACTAAATGTGATGTGTACAGACAGGGTCGCTTTCAAACCACCACCATTCGTTGAGTATGTGCTAAATTTCACTGATTTTTTTGTAAGCAAATCAGGAATAAACATATGTTCTTCTAACAATGCAATCATGTGTAAATATTTTTAAGAGACCACATTATAATGTAAAGAAACTCAAACTGTCAGCTTCTGGAGCACTGTCAGCTACTGGTGCATTTACCTTATACCATCTACATGGACCAGCTGTCGCCAGTTTTTTACTAAATACCCCTGCCGCAGCAAACCTGCCGACTAAGCGAATTTCCATTTGTCTGAATTGATTTTCAGTTAAATATATTTTAATAACATTAGGTTTAACGAGTACCTAGGTTTGCTGCTACAAGGAAACTAATAAAGTGTGTTTTTTAGTAAAATATTGATAGCTTAGTACAAAATAAATAAATTTGCCAAGTTTGATCAAAATATATCCATAAACAAGCAAACTACAACATTTAACAATATTCTCCATAAAAATAACATGGGAATTTTAAATTTACAATTTTTTTAATTTTCTCCGTTACTAATAATCGAACAAAAATACTTTTACATACTAAATTATTTGTTTTTTTAAGCTCTTTAAAAAGGTCTAAAGAGAAATCGGGAAATTTTGTGTTTTGAGGGTCAAAAGTGAGAAAAACCAATTTTTACCCCATAAAACCCCCCGTAAAGCCCCGTTCCCATGGTCCGATCATGCTGGTTCGCGAACTCATTCAAGTTTATCCCGCTTTACACCTTTAAATTAAATTTCATCAAAATCGGACAAAAATTACTCAAGTTATCGCGTTCACGGACGTATATATATATATATATATAAGTCTATATATATATATATATATATACATATATAAAAATTTGAACGAATGGTGTTTTGGCCTCTGGGGACATCAAAATGAAAAAGTAAATCGGTCCCGGGTCTAGGTCTTACCGTACCACCTACGGTAATAGCTACTTCCCTATAGGGAAATTCGCTAAAAAGAAAATAGTTGCATGAACCAGTCCATAGTGTCTCAAATAATATATTTCATAACTAGCTTGTACCCGCGGCTTCGCCTGCAATGGTATAACCAATATGAAGCAGAAAAAGAAATAAACAGAGTATTATAGTATAAACCAATAGAGCTGTAATATGGATGCTTGGCAGTGACCACAGTAAGATAATATTATTATTTATTGCCTAAAGCATAGTTTGAAAATATATCACAATTGAAAAATGTATAGTAGTTTGAAAGAAAACAAACACACCACCTTATGAAAATAAAAACTTAAACATAATTGTAAACCATTATACTATGACAATTCTCATTTTATCAAATCTTTTTGTTATTGTTTAGTTCAAAACACCTGTCATCAATATTTTATTTTTGTTTATTGGCAATGAAAGTCAGCAAACCTAAGTCACTGTTTGCTAGGTCTGCAGATTTGCTGTGGGGAGGGGGTTTATTTTTTATTATGTTACCATTCCAGATGTACACCCAAGAGCCTTATTATGCGCGGCCACTCGAGTGGCGCGCGACCGCGACTGCTCAAAGGCCACTTTTAGGGGCCATGTTATAATATGGAGCTTATTAAGCGACGCGACTGCGGTGGCGAGGCACGCGACAGTCACCACGACTGGCCACTCCAGTCGCGCACCCTCGCTACTAGTCGCGAGCCCACGCGACTGTCGCGTCACCAGCGGGCCATGTTATCATATGTTGTTTATTACGCGCGGCCACAATCGCGGGCTACAGCGGACTCCACTCTCTACCCTCGCCTCAATCCTGATATTTGTTTCAAAATTTTATTACATTAATTATAATCTATATATTAAAAAATATTGGTTTTCTTTTCTGAGTCGGTTCAGATTTTCTACCTGACCGATTTTCATAATTTTGGTCTTAAATTAAAGGTATTCACGAACATATTTGCCAAATGTATTACTTGACAAAAAAAATCAGATTTGTTTCAAATTTTTACTTCGATTAAAGCGGTATTTTGCCCGTTCCGATTACATTATCCTATACAGTTTTCGTCTAAGAACCTTCAGTGAAATGCCAGCTTTAATTTTGAGCTGTAAGATCGGACGTACGTGAAGCACGCTACTGAATCACGAATCAACAACAGTTATTATTATTTTAACACCTATCCGCAATCAATGATACGTAACTCCATTTTTATTTAAGTTATTCTACATGTGTTGGTCTTAAAACAGTCTTAAAACTACCCCTCAAAACGAAGGCTTTAATTTGAGATGTTGACCATTTGAATAAGTTAAGTTCAAGATAGATACAGTCTGCATTACTCAATTATTACCATTATTGTGAATTTTATGTTGACTCGGGCAACGCAACGCCAAATTTTGCTGCTAACATTGTATATATATTATGATTATATCAAATCAAAACCATTATAATATTTAATTTAAGGTAAGTGCTAGCCTCTCCTTAGCTAAAATTATTTATTTTCTTATGCGATATGGATATAAGTCATTCTTCCTACAATGTTATCAAAAGAACGTCTCGTCTCCCGAAAACAACAAAAATACATCTTGTCATCCTCTCTGAGATCATCATATAAAAACTGAAAAACACTCCTGAAGTTCTTAATTACTTTTAGTAATGGATTGCCTCCCAATACCTTTCTTTCGTATACGTTTACGACGCTTAAGTAAAATTAAAATAAAATGCAAGTCTGTATAAAATTCGGTTAGACGCATCACCTCACCACACCTGTCGCTACCCCTAGCCACACCTGTGGCTACCCGAAGCGACTGCCAGTCGCGGTCGCACGGGACTCGAGTAGCCGCGCATAATAAGGCTCTAAAACTGCTTTCTTATGACTGTTCTGTGTTGTCAGTACATCTACGTGCTGCACTCTGTAGGTAAACCTTATAACTTTTTAAAGCTATTGTAAATCATAGAACCAACTTTTTTAGTTGAAACACCTGACTAAATTCTTTAATTCCCTTTAAATATGAATACTCATAAGGTTAACATGGGGAATTACAGAGCCACTAGGGCGGAGCCCGAAAGGATTTTTGAGATAAGAATATGCCTATATGTTAATCGGGAATGTAAGCTATCATCATGCCAAATTTCAGCCCAATCCGTCCAGTGGTTTATGAGTGATTGAACTTCAAACACACAAACAAACAAACACACAAATTTTCACATTTATAATATTAGTAAGATAAGACAATAGTTGAAAGTTATCTTTTTAAATATGGTCGAGAATGTACAACACCGAATTTCATTTGTGTTTTGAGCATTACAACTATAATATTTTTGTCTCTTGTTAAGAAGTTTGAAAAATTCTTTTAAATGTTGTCTTTTATATTTCTATTCTATGATTTTATCAAACATTAAATACTAAATTAAACATACCTATGCTACTAAGCACCTAGAACATGCCAACATCACATAAAGTATACCTGTAAGAAGAGATAGCTGTTGGTATTATGTTGTAGCGTAATTTGCACCATATGTTGGCATGGTCTGTTGTACACAGGTGATCTGAGTCCAGGAAGTACGGCTGACAGGATGTAAGATCGGTGATCCATTGTCACTGGCCTCATTTGCCACGGTCAAACTTGCGTTACGATTCATTACATCCACAGATTTAAAAAGTGTGGGAGAAAAACTTATTAGTATTTTTTGTGCGTAGAAATACAATTCACTTTCACTAGTAAGAACCAAATCAGGGATATTTGGTATGCTTTTGATAAATATGGTATAAAGGTTATGACAATGAATAAAACTATTAGAGTTCAAAAATACAAAAATAGGTACAAAATAATAATAATATAATTATTACTTACCTAAAACAATTTTAGACTTTTAAAATGAATGACTACAGATTTAATAAGAATGTGCTATTATAAGCTTTTTGGAAGAAACAGGTAATAACTAGAATTAATCCATCTTTGATTAACCAAATGTTGAAAACTGTTTTATTACAAGAACCAAGCCTTGAAACATTGTTTTATGAAGATCACACTTACAATTTGTGATCACTTCTCCAGGTTGCGAAGGGCTGAATCAACACGGTACATTAAATATTGTAAAAATGGATAACTATAATTTTATTTTGATCAAGGAATTCAAAAGTTCTAAGCCATATTACATGTCATTACAGTGTACAGGATTTAAATTGGACACTTAAATCATGGATTAGGCCTAAACATACTCCTTTGGTAGCAGTAGTATCTGTCTTCCTTCATCATAATTTTCTTGTATGGATATAGTAAGACAAAATATGAAGAAGATGTTGTATGCATAACCATACCTGGGACACTGTGTAAGTGTTGCAGTGTAAAACGCCGAGCACAGCCACATGATCTCAGGCCTAGTCCCCCGATATGTCACTCCAGCACAACCATTGCAACTCCACATGCTACTAATAAAAAATAAAAATTCTCGATATAAATAGAAGGTGTATATTTCTATTTAGGTACACTTGTAAGCATGGGCTGAAGACAATTTCAATGTTAGTACCTCTCTGTAGTAGTCTAGTTCCTCTAGGGGCATGTTTTATTGTTATTTTAGTTATTTAAAAACTTGTTTGATCAGATAAAAGAATCTAATCATATACAATAGCTTATCGCCTGGTGAAAAAACCAAAAAGTAAAGAGTTATAAATTCATCATTACAGATTTACTAGATTGATAGAAAGGTAAATAAATTATTCAAAAAATATTATAAATAAACTTTAATATTTGGTTTCTAAAATATATTTATAATTTGTATAACAAATAAAAGCATTGTTTAACACTTAAAACAATTCAAACAAAACAAAACATACAGTCTAGAAATTTAAACACATAAATTATGTACGAGCTTCATTTACAGCAACCTTTATGTAGCAGAGACTACTGTATGCGTGATACAGATGATTTTTAATTTTTACAACATATAACTGTGAGAAAAATATCATATGGTAAATCGATGTAAAATAATTGTGTTGTTCATTTACACAAAACTGTTTGAATGTCTAATAAATAGGTAAAACTTGATTAAATAGAGGATGGTAGCACAAAAATTGCAAAGTTTTATAATAGGTACATACTTCTACAGTAAGAGAATTTAAATTCATATACATACTTGTAAGATGTAGGCTAATTTTATTATAATTGCTATTACAATAAATTAAATAAAAAGGTATGGACAAACTAAATAAAACTTTATATACATATTATCATTATGCCATTCTTTTCAAATCGTCTGACTCCAAATTTTGTACCATTTATTCATATCACATAGCACATAGCAAGATTATAAGTTTAATATCACAAAACACTAAAACGCTAGAGTAACGAAGAGTGATCTTGCCTACTAGCATTTAAAAAGACAATTACACTATTGTCAAGTAGGGATGGACGGGTCCCGAAATTTCGGGAATTTTTCGGGAAAAAAATATTCCCGATTGTCGGGACGGGATTACATTTGACTCGGGAATTTTTCGGGACGGGATTTGGTCCGATCGTCGGCGATTTTTCCGCTTCGCGAGTGCCGATAACGCCGTTATTGCGAGCGATAGGTCCGCGAACGCAGGAGACGAAGTCATTTCGACGATTACGCCGTGACCGCGGAGTCATAACGACGATCGCGCCGTGACCGCGAGTCATAACGACGATCGCGCCGTGACCGCGAAGTCCTACCGACGATCGCGCTGTGACCACGAATCATACCGACGATCACGCCGTGACCGCGAGTCATACCAACGATCGCGCCGTGACCGCGGAGTCATACCGACGATCGCGCCGTGACCGTGGAGTCCTACCGATGATCGCGCCGTGACCGCGAGTCATACCGACGATCGCGCCGTGACCGCGAAGTCCTACTGACGATCGCGCCGTGACCGTGGAGTCCTACCGACGATCGTGCCGTGACCGCGGAGTCCTACCGACGATCGCGCCGTTACCGCGGAGTCATACTGACGATCATGCCGTGATGGCGAATCATACCGACGATCACGACGTGACTTTGGAGTCCTACCGACGATCGCGCCGTGACCGCGAAGTCATGCTGACAATCGAGCCGTGACTCGAGTCATACCGTCGATAACCCCGTGACCGCGGAGTCATACCGACGATCGCGCCTTGGCCGCGAGTCATACCGACGATCGCGACGTGACCGCGAGTCATACCGACGATCGCGACGTGACCGTGAGTCATACCGACGATCGCGCCGTGACCGCGATTCATGACGACGATCGCGCCGTGACCGCGAGTCATGACGACGAGCGCGCCGTGACCGTGGAGTCATGCCGACGATAACCCCGTGACCGCGAGTCATGACGACGATCGCGCTTCGACCGCGAGTCATACCGACGATCGCGCCGTGACCGCGAGTCATGACGACGATCGCGCCGTGACCGTGAGTCATACAGACGATCACCCCGTGACCCGCGAGTCACAAGTTTCTATAGGTACCTGTAAATTGTTACCCATTTTTTGGTTTTTATAGATCAGTGCCACAAATGGTAAAAATTGATTTCGTATGTCTTTTTTGGTAACTGCAATACAGTAATTTCTTTTTATGCACAGAAAAAAATCCCATCCCGTCCCGTCCCGAAAATCGGGAAGGAAATAAAAATCCCGTCCCGTCCCGTCCCGAACTAAAAATTCAATCCCGTCCATCCCTATTGTCAAGCTAAAAAATGTGAGATGTTGTAAAACAATTTTTTCAACAAAGAATCAGGGCTTATTACATAATGTTAGGAAATAATTTTTTGTAGGAGTTAACTTACGATTAAGTGTACCTCATCTAAAAAAATAACTCCAGGAAGCCTATTTATTATTTAAGAGGTACTGAGCCTATGGAACCTATTTGTCTGAATGAATTAATAGTTTAAAAAATATACACTGTTGTTTAATAAATAACATTTAAAAAGTTCCTTCAGATCTATGATTAATTAAGAAAGCTACTACTGTAAAACCAAAGGAAGTGAAGAAGAAACACCTGAGAAAGAGTGAAATTTGTGGAAATATACATGTTGCTGAAATGTGTTAAACTAAAAGAAGGGGTGGATTTTTTGTGTAAATTGTAAATAGCCTGAAGTATATTAATATCAATTAATTCATAGTCTAAAGTACACAATACAATGTTAAAGTTGAAAGAATATTTTTTACAGTATTGTATCAAATCAATTAAATGGGGCCCGAAAACCCGACTGGAACTTCAGTAAACGTGTATTCTTTATAAGAACCACATAAACCCACATAGAGCACCTCAAACTGTCATTATTTTATCTTCTTTTTTCATACAAGGGAATTCATTTACGTACTTTGTATGCTTAATTTGCCTTCCCAATACATTTACAAACATGAGAAAACACTAGGAAGAATAATTGCTATTGGACACAAATTGATTTAAATTGGACATGATTTAAATGTGTTTTTTTTTATTTACAAATATAAATATATAAATATAATTTGATTGAATTTTCAACAACAAAAGCAGTGATTTTTTTTATGAAATAAGACATAATGTGTTTCCTGATAAGTTTTATTTTGATTGTGATAGTATTTACAAGTGACACTTGAAAGGTTATGCTATATATAATGTTTTATTTTATTTAATGAGCTTTGGTCAAGCGTTTGAGCATTTGAATTGTTATCATGAGTTAAGATCTTGACTTTAGATATATGGACATAATGTATACGATAAAACATTGTTTGAAAAAATCTGAGTTGGAACATGTAAGGAAAGGATTTTAAATGGTGAATGATAAGAAAACTGGTTTTAATACTGGATTAGGAAAATATTGGTTTTGCTTTTCCGAGTCGGTTGGGCTCTTCTACTCGACCGATTTTCATAATTTTGGTTTAAAGGTATGCACACACAGATTTGCCATCAAGCATTGGCATTTATTTATCTGACATGTATTTCGAGTTACTCACAAAAGCAACTTCCTCCCTGTGCATTTCTTATGAGAGTTAAATTTGGTTTTTCTTTTCCGAGTTCTTTTGGCTCTTCTACCCGATCAATTTTCATAATTTAAGTCTTAAATTAAAAGTGTGCTTGCACAGATTTGCCATCTAGCGTCATAATTCATATCTACTGTATTACTAAAATAACGTAAATTAATTTTTTTTAAATTCTTACTTTAATTGAAGATCTATATCACCAGTTATAATTACATTATCCTATATATATTTGGTTAAAGAACCTTCAATGAAATACCAGCTTTCATTTGAGCTATTGATTATTGAGATGTGGGTACATGAAGCACACTGCTGAATCACAAATCAACAATAATTATATTTATTTTAGGACTTATCTGCAATCAATAATACGTAAACTTTTACGTTACTTTATATATCTTGGTCTTAAAATGCTCCTAGAATAAAAATGAAGGCTTTCATTTGAGATAATGATTGTTTGAATCTTGGATCAGTTAAGTTCAAGATACTGTATTACTCAATAAAAAAATATTTTATTAATACCATTATAGAGAATTTAATTTTAACCCGGGCAAGGCGGGTTTTTCTGCAAGTTAATATTAACTGTGACACACAAAAACAAGATTAATTACAGCTGATCAATGTTAATCAATTCA